ATACCCTGCATATATCTATCTATTCTCAGAGAGCTTAGCGAATGTTGAAAACAAATACTCATCGTTATCAAAACAAAGTTATTAAGGAATTCCCTGCATTGCGGGGAGGTTTAGTTGGGACCCCCCAAATAATAGAGCTTGAGAGCTGTTAAAGCTTACTGCCCTGAATCCGGTCTTTTCTTTTGCTTGAGGACGGCTAAAAATTTCTAGATGAACGTTTCATTCATGCACAATTTTCGAAGCATATCCATTAAATTGCCTACGATTTTCTGAAGTTTAATTTTTCATATTTTACTACCCAAGTTACACTATTTTTCGTAGAAAAAGGAAACCTAAAATTTTCGAATTCTAAAATGTGATGGAGAGAGGAACCAGAAAAATTCTCACTTTCGTAAAACGTTAAATTGCTCCTAAAATTTTCGGAAAAATAATACTGAAGCCCTTGTAATTTCGAAAAGATCTAGTTCCCTTAGGATGACCGAACAGATACAAATTTTGTAGCGCAGCTTAGAAATGCATTTCTAGAGATCTAAAAAGACTTTGGATAACCTAAAAAGTGTTTCTCTACGTATTTTGGAGGAAACCGTTGTTGGGTGTTCCTGTCAATTTGCGCCCCACAGTCACTCCGCTATCTGAACGCCTGGAACAGGCTATGCTACCGTCGCCTATGAGACCTGAAAGGGTCCGGAAAAGTTTGTGATGTGCATATTACTTCCGTTTCCTCCACGGCTGTTCATCTGTCTCAACACTAATAACCTACCAGTTGCCAGTTATATGTAATATGTAAGTTGTTACCTGTTGTTCAATGGAAGTTGAATATTTAGAAGGAATGAATGGTAATTTATGAGTAAAGAGAAAAAGTTGATTGTTGAAACGTTATGGGCTATTTGTCAATAACGTGCATGTAGACATATTGCACCTCATTTAAGGGGCCGACCATTTAACTCTTGATGGGGGGGGGGTGGGTGATTTTGAAAAAAAATTTCCGGCAAGCGCTTGTCGGAAGAAAAAAATTGCATGCAGCACAAATGTAATAGAGAGCTTATGGGAAAAAAAGGGAAAAAAATATCCTGCCCACCATATTGCTAGGAAAAAAAATTCTTGATGACCAGAAATCACCCACCCCCACCCTCAAGAGTTAAATGGTCGGCCCCTAACTGTCCAGGATCTATAGCTAACAGCCGTGTAATTAATAGCACCTGCATATTTTTTAACTTCCTATTTTGAAAACAAAATTTTACTGTACCTATCAGTCTCAGTAGCTAAGCTTAAGATCATATTCTTCGGCATTAAATCAACTTTGAATGAAAGAAGGGAGACAAGTGATATATTTGTCTGCTGTAAAGTTGGGAAGGAAGATAGCGTCTGTACTCCAGGTAAGGGTATATTTCCAGTGTCATGTCTCCTTGTGATTGCTTGATCTGACAAGAGAAATTATACGTCCACGGAAACGACAGAAACACGGCACGCTCTTCGTCTGAAATATACATCAGGGATAAATCTGAAAACTGGGCAACGTAGTGTTTTCTACCTAGTCGGGTCAGTCAGTAGTCAAGCATTCGTTTTTTGTTTTTTTTTTTGTACGAAGAAATATTTTTAGCAAGTGTTAATTGACACAAATATTATGCTTACACGTCGTAAATGCAAGATGTCAAAAGGGACCCTAACATCCGACGATAGCGACGGTGGCGAATGCGTCGCTTAAAAAGTGAATATACGTTCTTTCAAGCTTTATCGCGATTATTTGAACTCACTTTGTCGAATGTAGGGAACTTTTCTGGAGTTGAGTTTAAAAAAATCTATAAGCAAGTTCAGCAAGAATAAGAAAATTTCGTCGTAGCTTGTTTACGTCCTCCATAAAATATGAAATCGAGCATTTTCACGTCGTAGACATGCAGTGACGATAAAGAAATGTACAAAAAAGGAGTGTGCACGTGCGAAGTTTTTGTTTTGCCTAATATCAACCCTATTGTTTTTTGACGTTCTTGTTACTGTCGCCGTCGTCGGATCTTAAACTGCCGTCAATATTATAGTAAAACAGAAAACTGTGTGGAAGCACCCACTAAATCGTAGACTTTTGTAGGGTAACTCGGCGATAAATTCCATCGACAGAAAAGAACAACAACAAAAAAAGACAGTGGCATATCCGGTTAGGGACCTCGATTGACAAAACCAGTGATATGCAGCGGCGGGGTGGGGGGGGGGGGTGTAATTCAAACCCTGGCATTTGATCCAAGTTTTTAAATTGCCTGAGTGACTGAAAATAAGGGCTGGACGATTTTTGTTTCTATCTTTCATTGTCATCTTACCCCGTGCATGTAAACAATTATAAATGCATGAGAATTGAATACGACTACTTCCATTCCATGACAGGTTAAAGACCTCTGCCATCTGTTCCAGTTTCGAAGAGAGGAAGTCAAGCTGATATGCTTAGAATTTTCGTCTTCTCGATCGTTTCAGTCTCTAACATTTTTGCACTTCATACACGAATAACAGTCGACTAAGCAAAAATAAACAACAACCGCGAACAGTTTGATGTTTAATCTTCTACTTCTATATTCAAACAGTGCCGCACTTGCTTTTGTAGCCGAAATCCAAAAAAAGATGCCCTTTCACAATAATGCTGTTTCTTGTTGATGGAAATCGGAACAAAAGAATTTCTTTGGCGCGATGTCACCATCTTAACCTTAAAATAGTTGTTTTGGGACTATTATCCGCGCCCAAAATGGTAAATGTACAAAGGAGACGCAACTTGATCATTATGACTTGATCATTTTTCCCGCAGAAACTATGTATGTACAAGGAATAGACTTCACTTTCTATTGATTAACAGGTGAAAGAACCCATTTATATTTGGGGTGTTGGGAGAACACGAGATCAAAAATAGCTTGTAAATGGTGTTCTCCCAGTGTGCCTCTTAAGTTATTTCGTTGGTAAACCCGACAAAGAAAGTGCGGCCTGATGGGCTCTAGGGATAACGATTTCATTGATCGGGGAAATATTTCTGTAAGGGACCAGTCATTATTTATCGCCCGGAGGGGGGGGGGGGCTGCTCGGATGAAATTTGGGGTTTAACACAGTAAAATATGGTTGACCCCTTCCTTTACATGATGTTTTACTGAAGTGATACTCCTCATAACTTTTGATAAATTTCGTGATTCCCCCCAGAGTTTTCGGAGCACCCATGTTCACCTTTCGACGTGTATATATATATATATATATATATATATATATATATATATATATATATATATATTTATTAAAAACTGAATCATTAGATAATGCAATTCTAGCATTTTGATTGGCTTAGCCGTTATGGTATATGAGCTAATATACCATGTTCTCCATATATGGTCGGTGTACGCGTCAGTTTAAAATTGGAAGCTAGCTGAGATTTTTTTTCGCGAAGGATAGAACGGCGCCCGAAGCAAATCGTTTTAATTCATTTCTTAGAATACTAGAAATGCAATTTCAACGAAAGAAAAAAGACAAAAACAAACAAAAAAGCCACAAGAGCTTGTTTGAAAGTTTGTCGAAAAACACATGGAACTAAAGTACCTTGACCAGCTACGAAAGAAGACAAGTGTTGTTTCTTCATGATCGCGAAGCCATTCGCCGATCGAGTCACTCGCCGATAGATAACTGCAGCTTGTTTATCCAACATCAAGAATATAAATCACAGGTAACCAGCTACAAATACAGGCTATGCAGCCATTCACTAGAGCAATCGAGGCGGCAGTATAGCTTCTTTTCTCGTTCAGCAAAACCAGCTTGTGGCTTCAAACAACTTCATATCAAGCGACCGAGGTAATAGTTTTTCTCCGTTGTTCTTACTTTTATAACTGCACCGAAAATCCAAATTCATAGTAATTTCGACGGCTGTCACTTAAAAATTCCTTTCCTTCACATTATCTGCCAGGTTTTTTAAGCTGTTCTGCTGTGTAAAATCCTAGAATCACGATGAGTTTTTAAAAAACTAATGTTCATCGCACAATGTTTTGATTTTTCATTCATGCAGTCTAGGCGAGCCCGTTCGCGCGTTGACAGTTTTGATAGACGTGTGACATGTCAATAGCGGAAGTCCGTTGTCTTTTCCGGTTTGTTCTAGTCGGGGCGATTCAACGAGATTTTGTGGGCGTTTTTAATAAAACAATTATTCCACTCGGGCTTGTTGGATATGAAATGATTATAGCCAACTCGGCGCTATGCGCCTCGTTGGCTATCTATCATCTCATATCCAACGCGCCCTCGTGGAATAATTGTTAAATATATAGAAAGAAGGAAGACAAGGGGAAAGCCCCGCCAAAAAAAGAAACAATGCAGGGAGAAGTGACTCGAGGCATATCAGCTCTTGGGAAACTTAGAACCAATTGAGACTGCAGACATTTATCTCCCAGTAGAATAGACGTATTTATTTTACATGCTTCGAAACTGGTATTGTCCAAGCAGATTTAAGTGGTCCCTTTAATTGAATTCTCCTAATTTTTTTTTCAATGATTTGCGAGGGATTCCCCGTTCTGTTCTCCTAAAAGTCAAGTGATCCCCCCCCCCCCCGGGCGATAAATAATGACTGGTCTCTAAACTTTAACTTCTTCCCAGATCTGATGCCATAATGATAACACTCGCACTGTTCGTGTCACTCCTCTTGGCGGCAACAAGGCGTTATTCTGGTAAGTATGTCCATTTGGTTTCTAACAATTTCAATTATAATTTCACAATTAAGTGAGAGATTTCTTGCGCTATTTGGTCTTCGAGAGCTATGGTCGATGTAAGTTTTTTTAAGAACTTTTTGGGAGCGGTTGTGATTGTCTTGAGTGGGGAGGGCGCATCTAGACACCCACAGCTGCTTACTGCACGGCACGTGTTATCATCCTTCGCCTTCAGGCACGGCTTACAATACTTACAACGACCTTGACCAACCTCATTCAATAATTGGCTTACATGGTTCATTATCGTCAAGTCAAAAGAGTCAAAGGTGCCCAATTTGATTCTTTTTAGCTTTGGAATGCCCAGAAGAGTGGAGCGAATTTGAAGGCTTTTGCTACAAGGTTATGGATAGGCTCGGTTATCAGCGGAGATTTGCTTGGTCAACAGCTCTAAGCGGGTGTTTTGGGTTTGGAGGAGACCTGTTAAGCATATCGAATGAAAAAGAAATGAAGTTTGCCCATGACATGGCTTTCAAGGACGCAAACCGCACTTCTGTTTGGATTGGGTTGGCGTATCGGCATCAAAAGGGTGGATATGTATGGAACAATGGAGAATCGTTTGACATTTCTGTTTCAGTCCAGCGGCTCAACATGTGGAGAATTGTTCATGAAAATAAATGCGTCGAAATCTTGAAAAATAGCTGGAACCTCACAGAATGTTGCAAGGAAAATAAACGTTTCATCTGCCAGAGACCGAAAGGTGAGTTATTCCTGTGGGGAACTCGACATTGAAAATGACGGGGAAGCTCCAATCGCAACAGGTACGGCCAAATCAAAGGTAAAATTTGATCCATCAAGGCGCTTAAACTCTTAAACGAACTTAAGATAGCCTTTACGCCTTTAAATTTTAGGCGGGCTAGATTCCACCCTGATATTTGGCTTTTTCCATTTGTTTTCTCGTTTAGTTTCGCACTCATTTTAACCTCAATTATAACCTTGCTGGGTTAAAGGAGCTTTTTTGGTGGTTACAATACAGTTTTTGTCACATGACCAGTCACGCCCATGATTATGCAAATTTTACATTTTAGAATTACCACACCCAAACACATATTAAAGATCCTAATTTTACTTGTATTCTATTTAAAAAAGAAATATAATAACTGATTGATTACCAGGAAATTTTAGAACATTTTATTCCTTGTTCTCTGATTCTCGTCCCAGTCTCTCTAACGTTTACAGCTGTGCCATGATTCTTATTGGTTTCCAACTATTTGCTATGTAAATCTTTCACTAATGAGGTCCATTGGCCTGTCCTGCTGGTTGGTTTTTCAATGGAGTATCTTGCTACAAGGAAAATGGAAATGGTACCTGGGAAGGTGCACGACAAGGGTGTACTGTTTCCGGAGGTGATATAGTGAAGGTTGATGATGAAAATGAAAAACGATTTTTGATTCACTTCATGGAGGTCACCGGTCTGAAGAAAACCAACTTAGATGTAAGTATCGAGTCATTACCTCTTCGGGCCTCATGATCGGATGATCAGCATGAACTTTCTCCATGTAATATTAATTCATTATAAAACATATTAGTCACAAGAATTAATTGTATAAGAAAATGATCACCCGAGGTAAATGTAACTGATTCTTAATACAATTACTCTTCCTACCACATCTGTAGAAAACGTGTAAGGAGAGGAAATGGGCATTTAACTTGAGATGTTAGGTTTTTTATGCAGTTGATAGAGCACGCTTAAGTCTAGGGTAATTAATTATAAGACGAGATTTCAAAGAGGAATGCGGAGAAATTGCATCTTCTGTGTAGATGTTCGTGTCACAGACCCAATTGAATCAGTGATGTAGATCGTAGACAGTTTTTATTCCATTTTCATCTATATCTGTATCTTGACAAACGCAAATGTTCAAAAGACCACGTTTCTCATGCTCAGTTACTTTGGCATAACCTGAGATCAGGCTATTAATTGTCCGCCATATTGCTTTGATATGTTTGCATGAGGTCTGGGTCAAAATGACCTTTGATTGGTTCAGGGCCTTGTACTTACGCATGTGCTTATGTCAACCCAGTTTTAAACAGTCAAAGCTACGACACAAGCATAAGCACAAGGACAACGAACTTGTCCGTTTTTCTTGTGCTTATGCTTATGCTTATGTCGACCCAGTTTTCACTTGCTTACACAAGTGCTTGTGCTTATGCTTATGTGCTAGTGAAAACCAGGCTTAAGAAAATTCTTGGCCGAGAAGTTATCATGAGGTTAAGCCTGGTTTTCACTAGCGCATAAGCATAAGCATAGGCACAAGCACATGTGTAAGCAAGTGAAAACTGGGTCGACATAAAGCATGAGCACAAGCACAAGAAAAACGGACAAGTTCGTTCTTCTTGTGCTTGTGCTTATGCCCATGTCGTAGCTTTGACAAGTGAAAACTGGGTCGACATAAGCACATGCATAAGTACAAGGCCGTGGAGCAGTCGTAGGCTACTTTGACCCAGACCTCATGCGAACATATCAAAAGCAATATGGCGGACGCTTCGTCCGCTATCTTGTTTATAATTGGGTTGAGGAGAGTTGGTACCGAGAATTGAGTCAAACATGCCATTCTGCGCGCGCGAATGTCCTTTTGCTGACGCTTATGCGCTAGTGAAATCCAGGCTTAACAAATTGAAAAAAATAGGCTTTTTCCAAAACATCCTTGTCGCCATGGTAACGATCGAAATCTTACTTCTAAAATGTCAAATTTATTGTCCTTAGTAAAAGTGTATTCTGTCCATACCAAATATGAGCCTCAACGAGTCTTGAATGACACTCCCATTATCAAACTGTTTACAACCACCTTAATTAATTGTGGTTTTTGTAGTAAATTGTTCCATTTAATATTTTTTCTGTATCCCTTGTAATTCCTTTATACAGCAGGTATGGATTGGCCGAAAAGGTGATTCGAATTGTTTGCAAATGGAGACAAACACTGGAATTATAGAAACGGCGAAGGACTGTAACGACAAAAAGAACTATATTTGTGAAATGCCAGCTTCAACAACAAGTACGTTTTCTATCATCCACATCGACGTTACACCTAGCGCATTATCGCAATAGCCCAAGCTCAATACGAGAGCCCTGAACAACCTTATTTTACTTAGCTAATTATTTATTCATACAGCAAAACCACATAAGACATCGTATGAAAATTATTACTTTTTCTCTAAAATTGGGCGAAATGTGCATTATGTTTTTCCTACGAAGCTTTTGTTTAGTATTTTCAGGTTAAAGTCTATCAAATTTGAGTCAATGACTTCCATTTTAATTAGTAAAAGCTCCGCTTTTAGGCTTGTCTACAAGTTATAATTTCACGCTTTTGCCCCAGACTTTGGGGTAAGTGACCTTGTCAGAGATACTCGATGGTTTTAAAGGCTTGTATTATTCTACATCTATCTTCAGGTACTGTTTGTTATGAGCACCCTAGCAGGAATTACTCTGTTCCCATTAAAGTCAGCTGTACTTTTCCAGAAAACCTTTGTTTCAAATATGACAATACAACGGCAAACGGCGAACAAGTCACCATTCAAGGCTGTATATCCGCTGATCAATGCAGACAATTTGATGGTCATCATTTGCACTGTTGTGAAGGAGATCTGTGTAATAGTGGTAAGTAAGCTCAAGTATAATGGACACAAAATAGCTAAAAATTGTTACTTTAGGTCCGCCGTGCCATGTTCCCCAGAAACAGGGAAAACTTAGTTTATTTTAACGAGGATCCATGAAGGAGGAATAGCCATGATTTTAAGAACCTTTTTGTAAGTTTTCACAAGATAATGCACCTGTTTTAATCAGCGCATACTCGCACGTTTCCTATGCCATTTATAATGCAATACCTTTCCTTGCAGTTAAGAACACCACGATACCTGAACCCGAAAATCCGACCCGCGCCACTTCTAAAGTCATTTACATCTCACTTGGTATCACCTCCGCTTTTTTGCTACTGTCCGTGGCTATTGTTGTCTGGTGCTACAGAAAAAAGAAGCTAAAGACTATTGAAAGGTTGGTGTATCTTTTAATTTGCTAACGACGCTGTTCGGCGTAATTTTTTCTCTAGTTGAAGGTGTATCAAAAACACTTATATAATAAAAATTTTACTTTCCTAGTATTTAATTTTAGCGCGATGTTATTGGTTAGATTACGTCACGTGGCCACTTAGAGCGTCGTGCACCCGCCATTGACAGTTGCAACGAGAACAATCAAGCATTTTGTTTTAGCCAAGGGGCTGAAAACCTAAAAAAGACAGTAAGAAAGAAGAGACCCTTAAGAAGAATATCTTGAAAAATAAATTGAAAATTGACTTGACTGATAAAAAAATGTTATTGCGTTCGACGTCGAGAGAACGCAACCTAGACTCAACGCCCAAGAGCTTGAGCACAAACATTCAGCGCAAACAAACTCAACTTTTGGTAGTCTGGGTGAATTGCCGAAAACGATAGGTTGAAGGCTAATGGCTAAAGTCCTTGGTTGACAACTTTCTTCTGAGATGCCTCTTTCTGCCAGCTGTTTATTTTGACAGACAACCGCTGTTGAGCCTATCTGGGACCAAAAGTTATCTCTCATATCAACACGATATCAAACTATGCCCAGTCGGTGAGGTTGCATTTTTGGAAGGCAAAGGCCGGTTTCGAGAAGCGGCGTTTGACTTCTAATCGGGTATGGAAAATTTCGTTGTGACGTTTTCTCACTCAAAAATGGGCTTCTAGAGCAAATGTGTTCAGCAGTACACAAAAGGGCAAGGGCTGGTTGAGTCGGATGAAGCTTCATTCATCAATGAAATTACCCTTGCATTAAAATGAAAAATTTATCTTAGATGCCGTTTACACGGGACCGGACAAATATTTCAACGAATGATTAAGGCTTTTCCCGTGCAACCCTTTTACACTGTGGACCCGTGCAAATTCTGTATCAAATTTCAGTATGATTTGCCGTTCAAAAACTTGCACAGTTCGCAAGTTCCGTGTAAACGAAATGCGGCTTTGTGCAAGTTTTTGTCCGTTCATATGTCCGGATGTGTTTAATTTAAACGTGGTCTTAAGTTTCTTTAAACTGTCACCAACCCTGTTGGGAATTGTCTCCAAAATAGTTGCTATCCAACACACTCACAGAAGGTGTTTATTCCTTTCCTCACAGTACAGCACACTCTCATAACAAAATAATTCTCTTTTACTATCTCCTATTGTTCTACTATTTTACTATCAATCAGGAGGTTTTCAGCTTCGCTTTCAATTCCAAGTTCAGTGCTATCAGATTCTCACGTGTAATCTATCACTTAACACCTGTTTTAAATCAATTGACTAAAATCAAACAGAACTCAAATCATGTTTACAAAGGAGATTGGTTATTATTTCCGACACTCTCCCCCCATATGTCTTCCTTTAGGTGACATATGTTGCATTTATCTCTAGAAACCATATCATACTAAACGTTCTTCTGAGTCAAAACGATAACAGAAAACGAAATGATTCTCAAACTCTCTACATAGTCGGTGTTCAATGTTCAGTTGGCTTGCTCTTTGTCAGCAATATCTTGCATTCGTACTCTCGCTGCAATTGCAGCTTCACGGATAGGTCTGAACTCTCGAACCTACGGGTTTAGCTGTTCCTGAGTTAATTTGTCAAAGGCGCCCGCTCGCACGACATTTCTAAGGGCTAGAGGTGGTTTAGCAGCGGCTCTGACTTGGAAACGGTGACAACCATAACAGTGTTTTATTACTCTCTTGGTCAGACGTCTGAGCCTCGGCACCCAATGACGCTCTCCGATCCGCACCATTGTTAAACTTACTCCCCCATGCTAAGTACGGCTTCAAAGAGTTTCACTGTGTAGGGGTGCTTAGCTTGTCAGGCAGGTATACCGGGTAATGTACCTGTACACGACCTCGACATATGAGTATCCCCTGGTCGTTTTCTTCTAAACCCAGTCTTTGTCGATCGTCTGTCACATCCTCGCTTTGAATCCCTTGAGGGCGCCTGGTCCAAAACAGGTGCTGGTTTTTAATCTCGTCGGTCGTCAATGGGCCCATCATTCTTTCTTGTTTCTTCAGGCGTGAATTCCGTATGAATCTGGCTGTCCAGGCGACGATCCTCAACATTGAGCCACCCAGTTGACGCAGTGGCGCCATTAAAAAGTTCTTTGGTAATTTTAGCCTATGCTTGGCTCTCAGGAGTGCGACTTGTGACGATGTCTGTAGGCCACTTTTCTCTGTCTGAAAGCCATTCCATTCCTTGCCACCACAGCTTGCTGTCATCTACTTGCCCTCCTCGACTTCCCAGGTCTGCCGGAATTTCGTTAGTGGGTACGTGGCGCCAAGTAATCCCTGAATGCTCTTGTGTTTTCATCGCTCTGTTTGCTATGAGCTGTTTGTACTCGCGGCCACCGTTTATCCAATGGAGAGCCACTGAGCTATCCAGCCATCCATAGCGCCGTTAACAGGAAACCCTTCAAGCGCCTTCTCTACGTTTATGATAAGGTTCGTTGCCATATGTGCCGACACCAGCTCTAATCGCGGAATGGTCAGTAACTGCTTCGCTAGTCGAGCCTTTGCAGTAACCAAACCCTGGCTCACCCCTGATGGCTGTCTCGCAACTGCATGGACTGTTGCACACACTCCGTTCTTACTCGCATCTCCGAATACATAGAGCTCAATTCTTTCAATCTGCTCTCGGGCACATGTCAGAGCCCTTGTTACCATGACCTCGGCTGGTAACTCTTTCTTCCATCGTGTCCATTGGCTTGCTAGTGGTGGGGGTAGCGGTGCATCTCAGGCCACCTTCACGTTGCAAACATCTCTGTAGATGAACTTTCCCTTGATAGTTACCGGCGCCACGAGACCGAGGGGATCGTAAATTCTTGCCATATTACGTATCATATTGAGGCATAGTAGCACTTACCTGATCTCCTTGTTTGTCCCACGAGAGTCCAAGAAAACTGCCGGTCTTTGCTTTTGTTTGGCCGAGCTGCTGTTTGGCAAAGTGCCCTCGTTTTCCACCCCTCTTTCACTCTCTTCTAACTCGGCAACATTCGAGTGCCACTTGTGCAGCTTGAACTTAGCATCTTCGAAGATTCTTATGGCTCCCTCTTTCTGTCGTAGATCGTTCCCGTTCCACGATGTGCTGACTTTGCACATTTCACAGGAGTCACAGGACGATTGTCTTCATGTGGACTTTGACCGTTTCAAATTAGCACTATGGCCAACTTTGAGACAGAATTTTATGAACTTTTGAAGCTTTTTGACTCGTCCAGGCGATAAACGTGACAAAAAGATCAGCAATTGCTCTTCGACTCCCAGGCTGGTCCAAGCTCGCTTCTGTGTTTTGAGAAGCTATCACTCCATCATTTTTGTCTAGCGAAAACTTGATAGACTCAATCTTCCGGTTAAATTCTTTCATTAGTTCCTCCATCGCGTTAGCCCTTGTAGTTTTGGCGTCGTTTTTGTCGCCTTGTAAATATACTCAGTATTAAAATTCCTAGCCCCCCACGCAGGCGTTTTTAGGGGAGGGATGAAAAACGTTCTCCCCTAAAAACGCCTGTATGGAAGGCTATAAAATTCCCTGATCGCATCCGCTGTGTACTTGAATTTCCGTAAATGCCTTGCTCTTGTTCGAGGCAAATCCCTGTGTGTCCAGTCGGAGGTGCCCGCACTTGTGTTGGGAATTGTCTCCAAATAGTTGTTATCCAACACACTCACAGGAGGTGTTTATTCCTTTCCTCACAGTACAGCACACTCTTATCACAAAATGATTCTCTTTCACTACTCCCTGTTGTTCTACATTTTATTGTCAATCACGAGGTTTTCAGCTTAGCTTTCAATTCCAGAGTTCAGGGCTATCAGGTTCTCACGAGTAATCTATCTCTTAAGACCTCCTTTAAATCACGCCACTAAAATCAACATGTTTACAAAGGAGATTGGTAATTATTTCCGACAACTCTCCAACTTCGTTTGCCTGAAAATTTGTCTGTTAATTTCTTGTCATAAATTGGCAGAAACGCATACGGAAAGGCAAGTCCGATGCTCCTGTTCAATGCGTTGTTCACTGGTTTCTCTATACGTCCACGTCTGCACAAATAGTCGTGTACAAGCCAAACGTCTGAGCGCTGGTATGTTTTTCAGGTTGAAAATATGGTGCTTAAACTGATAACAGCCACCGCTATCATTACGATTACTCACGAGCGTTTTTTAATTAATAACAACCTTAATTCAGCTTTTATTATGTCCTTTTTCTCCAGATCACCTGACTCACAACCCTCTGATAAGTGGGAAATGGTGCCTGAGCAAATAGAATTCGAGGGAGAGCTAGGGAGAGGAGAGTTTGGTGTTGTTTACAAAGCAACCGTTAGAAAGAGGGATGAGATGGAGGCGTTGGTCACTGAGACTTCCAAATGGCCTTCATCATCCACGAAGACGAAGGCACCACAGGTGGTGGCTGTCAAAGTTTTACATGGTAAGAAATATTTTGAGACAAAGCCGTAAGCGCTAATTGAATTTGTAACTTATTTTCAGTTGTTTATATGCAAAAGAAACGAATTCTTTTTTATTTCTTGTTTGGACCTTTCTGAGACCCCAATAGAAAATCAGTCGAAAAAATCCAATTTTTTTTATTTCGTTTGCTTTGGTTCTTGTTAGTATTGTTGTTGTTGTCGATTATTCTTTTCACCACTGTTCTCCTTCGAAAACAACGGCTAAGGCCTGATGGTAAATAGGGTAGGAGCTCAAGGTAGCATGCCTGACTGTTCCAGATAGTGCATCCCCTCCAAGGCTGCTATCTAAGAAGATGGGGTGGTAAAGTGACTATTAAACTGAAATGCACTTAGAAGGAATAATCTCCCTGTCCTTTTGTGCATAGGAGGATGCGTGCGATAAAAAGGGATGAATATCTGTCATGCAAATAAAAAATCTAGCTCTGAAATAACATGCTGGCACAGGAAGAATGAAGAAGACATAATCATTTTATCAAATTGTCTTTAGATGATCCATCTGACGCACAGATAGAAGAGTTCATGTTTGAGATTGAACAAATGAAACTGTTAGGCTCACATAAGAACGTTGTATCCATGGTTGGATGCTGCACGCTTGAAGAGAAAATGTTCCTGGTCATAGAATACGTACCGTGTGGTGACCTCTTGACGTGGCTACGCCGCAGAAGAAAAAAGGTAAGAAAATCATTGCAGCGTGTTCTCGTGTTCTGAAAGGGTAGACCACCATTTTGTATGACTATATAACTACCAGCCATTTCATGTATTGAGACTATTGCAGATTTACATCTGCGAAGATGCCAATTTCATACCCGAGAAAGTCCTTGTTATGGAAATCATAAGATTTTTTTTAAAACTTGTTACAAAGAGAAAATACTTTCTCTCGAGATTACTCAGTGCTTAAGGGAAAATATTTCAACATTATCATGTATTTGACTGGACTTGATACAAGGTGCCTGCACTCACTCTACTGGACAACTAAGTCCAAGGAGCAAGAACTTATCCTCACCACCCATGAAACTCACTTCCCCAAGCTCTGCCAGTAGTGTTACGATTATGAGTCACAGCATTTATTTGGCTGGGCTAGCTTACAGGGAAACTTCCTTGACTTTTGAACTGCATTCTGGCTCGAAAATCTATCAAAGTGACAAAATCTCCCCTACCTACCCCCTACTTTTGACGCAAAAAAGCCAGCCACCCATCCTCTACTAGGTCCGGGCCAAAGCTCTCTGATAAGCTCTCTGGATTTTTTTGGCTTCCCTGGCTTGATGCCCGTGTTCAAGTCACACAGATGTATTGGTCTTTATTTGTTACGAAACTGATAACGTTGCTTGCTGGAAGTCTAGATCAACGAACTTAAAGCCTCCGAGAGATCATATGCTGACAAAGAGGTTCTGAAAGATCAGGAAGAGAGCAGAGATAAGGTAGGCTTGTTAACAAAATGTGCTGATTCAATATTTTATCTATTCTTGTTTGACCCTGATATTTTTTCTTTTCTTCAAAGTCCCCAAACCGTTTGTTGTTTGTTTCCTGTGTCTGATTGACGGCTCATTGTACGTAATCAAAGACTTAATTAAGGCTTAATTAAGGGAGCTTTCCAAAAGTCAGAGCTGGCCGGCCAGACCATAGCAGGCACCAGTCACTTTGACAATGAAACATGCTTTTTTCCAAGAGCTTTTGTTAAAACACCATTTCCTTTGTGCCTGCTATTTGGTATCTGACTGATAGTTCTGATTAAAAGTGAAATTCTCATTATGACTGGAATGGTCTGGCTGGTCAGTTCTGACAAATGGAAAGCGTCCTAAGATTAAATTAAGACACTGAAATTGTTTCCATGCTTGTAAAAATCACCAAAAAGTTTTTATGTTTAATGCCCGCTGATAAAATTTGTTTGATGTCTTTTTTGTGGGGTGGTATCAGAGGGAGGGTGGAACACTCTTATAGGGTGGATTGAACGGTCTTTCCTTCTTCGCAGCAAAAACAAGCAGGCAAACTTTTGAAGAAAACGGCAAAGGAAGAGCAGGCTCAGGTCACCATGGAAATGATCTCATTGCGCCAGAGTGGCGACCCAAATGACATGGCGTCTGCCGCTGACAGTCTCGCTGATGTAAGAATTTTAATAAACACACTCAAGCCACAAGCGGCCTTTTCTCCATCCTTGGAGGCCTAGGGGCAGTCAGGTGGTTCGGGAGAAAACGTTTGAGCCCCTGTTTACGGACTCTCACCAGACCATTCTCAAACAATCCAGCGAGTACTGACTCCTGATTGGGCACAAAAAAATGCTTTGCATTATTTTGCCCAATGGGCGAACATGGGCTTCTATTTTCTTTTTGTGTGTTCGTACACGACGGCTATTATCTCGCCATACTTGTCCGGTTCTTTCACCAAGATTGGCTGTGCAAGGGGAATCTTGGCTTTTCCTACTTTGCCCCTACCAGAAACGGAGGAACAACTGATGATTTCGGAAGACGTTTCAGATGCTATCAGCAGGACCGTTCCAATTTGCTCCTAGACCATTCGGTAACAAGGTATCGTAAATGATATTTACGATGACGTGATCGATAAGGATCGATGCAAGCTTGAATACGTGTTTCAAGCTCAAGTTTATGTTTTTGGATAAGCATCTTTTAAATACCCTTACATACGTTTCCAAATTTAGTTTTCGGGTAGACAGTTGCAGTTTTTTTAATTCATGGACGGGTTTTATATCGAACTGAAACTTTCCTGACAGCGTGTATTTCTTTGGTTCAAGAGCCAAACAAGTATCATAATGGCGAGACAATAGCTATCGTGTACGAACACACGAAAAGAACTCGCGAGATGCTGTTTATCAGCTTGACCGTTTGGAAATAGTTTGGAAATAGTTTAGTAAGGGTCGGCACCCAAGGGCTCTTCCGCCCTTTCTTGAAAACTATTTTTCGCCGCGCCTTTTCTCCCGACCCGACCGACTGCCTCTTGCTCTCCGAAGATGCCTTGTCTCGCGATACGACGGGTGTAACATGATATATTTCATTCCTAAGAGCATAGGGAGAAGCGAAAGGTGACGTTTCAGTGACTGAAGAGATATCACGTAACGAAAGACTATTGTTATTGAATTGAATACCGTGGTTTTGAAGAATGATAAATAAAACTTCCATCTTATTTCAGTGGAACTTTAAATGAACAAATTCAACTCCTCTCTGTTCTTTTGTCAGTCGAATTACATAGTTTTAGCACAGGTATCCCGAAACTCATAGAAGATAACTATTAGTGCATAAGATTTTATATCATGATTTAAATTGGATCTTAAGAAAATAAAATAGTAAGAGGAAAAAGGCAGTAGTCTGCCTAAACTTGTGTGATACTTTAATTTTTAGTTACAGACAGTAGCTTCTAACAATGTAATGTTCCAATTTCCCTACATATAAATTAAACTCCTTTTTTAAAAATCATTTAGCATAGGTTCGCCTTTAATAATGAGGCTATGGACGATGAGCATTCTGCACACAAGGAGCAAGTGAACATTGCACAGCAAAGCGACAAAGATGCCGTTGTTGAAGTGATTCCCTCAACTTCTGCTAAAAATCAAGTAAGAAGTTTTATAATTATTTACCACTACAAGTAATGCGGGTATGGGTATGTGGGTACATGGTATACTTCGTGCATTTGGTACCTCAGTGTCATAAACGTCCCTACCCTGCAATGCACAGTTCCGGGTAGCCCTTGGGAAAGGTGTAGCACCCGTTAGCCATTTCAGGGTCACGACACTGTTACCTGGCAGTCAGGTTTTTGTTTTTGCCACAGGCTAAGGGAGCCACCCCTACAGAAAACGAGCCCACCGCTGGAAGGTCTGGCGCTCCTCCAGCATCCCTTGCTTGGATTTGTCTCAGTGAGCCTAGCAAAACATTGATTTGATAAACACTGCAAACTTCCCCACATACTTGCTCGGTCCTCGCCCGGATAAACAAGGGCCGCGTCCCCCAGTGATCAACCAAGTAGGAGTTGATAAGTCAGCTACTGGAAGTCTCTTAATATGCAAGATAAACACTGTGGTGTCAACTTTTAACATCCGTTCACTCAACTCCATTGAGAAGATTGGAGAGCTTACCGTGCTGGCAGAGGAGAAAGGAATATCTGTTGTTTGTCTGCAGGAACATCGAAAATTTCACGATAGTGCGCACGTGCACTGTACTGATGTCTGCAAAGGCTGGATCTTGGCCAATTTCTCGTGCTGGAAGAAGTCCATGAACAGTTGCGTGGGAGGAGTGGGTATGCTACTAAGCCTCTCTGCTCACAACTCCCTAGAGGGCAATATTGTAGTAGTGAGTAGCCGGACCATTGTGGCAAACTTTAGTGGCAACCCTGCTACTACCATTATATGCTGCTACAGCCCAACGAACTGCTCTGGTGACAGCGATGCTCTAGACTATTACAACACACTCTCTGAAGTAATAAAGAAGCTACCTGGACATAACCTTAAGATCATATGTGGTTATATTTGAATGCACAAATCAGTCCCTTAGACTGTAATGGGCTCAGCTTTAGGAAAAAGACGTTTATGTTGGATATGGCCAAATGGTTGCAAAGCCAAACTTGATTATATACTGGTAAACAAGAAATAGTGGAACAGTGTCAAAGACTGTCAGGCATATGACTCTTTAATTCAGTACAGTATATTCACAACATAAGATTGTCGTAACTAAACTATGCCTCAGTCTGCTTGCCAATGGGAAAACAACTGGCAAACGTAGCCATTCCGTAAGAGAGGCTTATACTGTGGAAGTTAAGAATCGCTTTGAGGCCCTGTACGAGATTAAGGAAAAACACACTGTGAACGATCTGTATACTACAATGATCGAGGCCCAAATGGATGCAGCTTAGAGAAGTGTATTCCTAAGAAGAAACGAGTGAAAAAAAGAGTGCCCTGGGAGAAAGAACTTGTCAAGGAGAAAAGGAACGAGTTGAAGAAAGCCTATTTGAAAAATGTCTCCCCAACTCTGACAATGCGAATTACCTAAAACAAACGAAAGAGGAACTTCAAGCTGCATATGACAGCGAACAAGTGGAATATCTGGCCCAGAAGTGCGCTGAGACTGAGAACGCTGCAGTGCAGCATCAGGCAAAAAGAGTATGGGATACTATTAATGAGATAACGGGAAGGACTTCGTCAGCTACAGGTCGTCTTAAAGGCAAAACTGCTGAAGTGAGGCTGGAAACGTTGAGGGACCATTTTGCCCCACTCTTAGGCCAACCAGTGGCCGAAGACAGGAATCCAGTTTGTATATTGTACAGGATACTATTCCGATCAGCACTAGTGCCTACACTTTCGAAGAACTCAATACCAGCATCAACACATTTGCCAACAATAAGGCACCTGACATAGATGAAATCCCAGCTGAAGTATAGAAAAGTGGCTTACTCAATGACCAGTTGCTAGACATGTGTAATACGATGCTTGAAGGTAGCGGAAAATCTGAGCTATGGTCCAAGAGCATTATAAACCCTGTACCCAAAAAAGGGCGATCCCAGTGAACCTCATAACAAACGTGGTATTGCACTAATTCAAACAGCAGCTAAGATCTATAATAGAGTGCTTCGTAACAGGATCCGCCCCTACTTAGACCCCTTCTGCGCACAAATAAAAACTGGTTCCGACCAGGAAGATCAACAGTTGCTCAGATATTTACTCTTCGAACATTGGTAGAAGGCATATAGGCCAAGAATCTATAACAGCAGTTCTTACTGTTGTGGACTTCAAAAAGGCGTTTGAAACGGTGAACAGAGACAAAATGTTTGAAATTCTGAAAGCTTACGGCATCCTAAATCAAATAGTCTTGGCTAGAGCGTCGATGTATTATAACACTGAAGCCATTGTTTGCTCACCTGGTGGAGAAACAGATTTCTTTGCTTTCCATGCTGGAGTACTGCAGGGTGACACGTTAGCTCCGTTCGTGTTCATCATAGCATTAGACTATGCAATGAGATCCGCAATTGAAGGCTACGAAGACCTGGGATTTACACTGACTGGGAGAAGAAGTCATCGCTTTCCCGCAGTTATGATCACTGACAGAGACTTTGCTAACGATATCGCATTGATTTCAGATAACTTGGATAAAGCCCAATCACTGCTAGAGGGAGTTGAAACTGCTGCCACAGAAGTTGCTCTGCACATTAACACCGGCAAGACCGAACACATGGCCTGTAACCTCCGACACAGGGCGACCTTACTACCCTAGACAATTCAAAGTTAAGACAAGTGGACGATTTCAAGTACTTAGACTCTTGCATAGATCAAACGAAGAAAGACTTCGAGATCCGTAAAGGAAAAGCTTGTGCCGCTAACAACAAACTAACAGCGGTGTTGAAATCAACCTCAACAGAGATCTAAAGACACGTTTCTTTAGAGTTTTAGTTGAATCTGTTCTGTTGTACGGGTCAGAGAGTTTGACATTGACTACTACACTGGAAGAACAAATTGATGGCTGCTACACAAGGCTGCTACGTGCTGCTCTAAACATAAGCTGGAGAGATCATATATCAAACGAGAAGCTCTACTGGGATCTCCCTCCAATTTCAGCGAGTCTCCAGATACGTCGACTGCACAGTTTAGTGCAGTGCCTGATCCAGACCTTGAGATAAGGGGGGAGCGGTCATCCAGACCCTTAGATAAGGGGGAGCGGGGGGCGAGAGCCCGAAATAAGTAGACAACTCCTTTAATTTTTAGTTTCGACTAAAGACGAACGCAACATATAGTCGCTGTAGGTCCTCTGTTACTATAGCCGTCATGCTATTTTCGTCGTTGGTGTACTACTTCTGCGCATGCGCCTTCTTGAATTACGTCACAACCTCTCGTTTCAATGCTATTTTAGTTGTAGACTCGACACTGGCCGTGGCTTCCTGGGTAAACTTCGCACGGTGAAGCCAACAGGACTTTCTTTAACTGTCGTGGTTTAGTTCATCCCAGACATTTTGACAACAGACTGCTAAAGGGAGGATACGTGTTTGATAGCTGTAAACCTGCCACTTTTAAGCTATTTCATGATTGTCAATTACGTCTACTTGGTTAAACACCTGTTCTTGTACTCACATTTAGCTCAAACATTTTGTCAGTGTTTTTTCTTTGAGAGTGATTAATAGTCATATTGTGCCGATCCTGACATCAAGGCAACCCTCGCAACAAACCTGAGGACAAGATCGACAGCCTACCGACTGAAAATAATGCAATGGAAGCCTAGGGTAATTTTAGAGATGCAGCATTCGATTTTACATTTACCACTTGAACAGAAAGAGCGAAAACATCAGGACTTGTTTGAAACCAACAACGCAGAAAACGCCTGCCTTCTGAAGCAAAAGCAGGAAGCATTTACCAATTGGCTTTAAGAAAAGAGCTCAACTGCCAGGCCCGATCGCCTCAAGCACCTCAGAAAAAAAGTCAAACTGAGCTGAGACAGATGAAGGATAAGTGGTGGCAACACAAGGCTGCAGAGCTGGAGCAATATTCAGACGTGCACAACTTTAAGAGGTTCTTCGAGGGCTTGAAGACTGTATATGGTACCTCTTCCAATGCCATGGCTCCTTTCCCATCTTCTGATGGAACCCTGCTTACAGGGAAGTCTGATATCGTTCAAAGTTGGTGTAAAATCTTTAGCCAACTTCTCAACAGATCGACCAGTGAGCCATCCAAGATATGCTTCAGCGCCCGGTTCTAAGCTCTCTTGACGATCCCCCAACACTGAAGGAAACCAATAAAAAAATAAGCAGCTCCAGGCTGGGAAAGCACCTGTTGTTGATGAGAAACCTCCAAAAATCTTTAAGGAGGGAGGAGAGGTCATCACCGTCAAGCTCACTGAGTTGATGCAGCAGTTTTGGGTCAAGGGCTCAGTGTCTAGGGACTTCAAGGACGCCAACGCCATCCACCTGTACAAAAACAAAGATAACAGAGCATCCAGTGACAACCACAGTACAAAGGTATCTCGCTGTTGAGTATTCAAGGAAAGATCATGGCACGCATCATACTAAGCTGTATCACACACCACCTCCTGGATGATTTTCGTCTCCGAGAGTCTTGGTGCCTTCAGGAGAAACAGAGGGACAATCGACATAATATTCCCCGTAGGAAAGATCAAGGAAAAGAGCCGCGAGCAGAATCAGAGCCTGTACATCCTCTTTGTGCACCTGACCAAGCCCTTTGATACGGTCTTTTGGTGGGTTGGACGTGTGGTTTGAATGGAAGACACGCACTTCCCGAAAATGGTCTTCTTCTCTCAGGTCACCAGCGGTGAACGTAGCATTGGACACCCACTAAAGAGGTTGAAGGACAGCCTGAAACAAAAAACTGAATCGAATCCCACTCTAAGATAAGAAACCTTCGCCACAGACCGCAACGCCTGGAGAATGGCCGTGCACAAGGGCTTTTAAGGCTTTGAAAAAAGGGGCTGCATGGTTTCCATCAGACCTCGCTATTGGCCGAGTTCTAGTAGCGCCTTAGCTGCGTCTTAGCGATTGAGTCGATCTATACGGTTTCTTCGAGTTGTTTAAGCTAGACCCTTAATGATTTTGTTTTTTAATTTTCGTAAGGATGGGGAGTGGAAAGTAAAGGACAAAGAACTACTACGCAGCCAACAGGTAACAGGAAAAAGTCAAGCAAAGCCTTCACCCGCCATGCCACCTGTAATCGAAAGCATACACGAGGATCTCAGCAGTGATGAAGAAGACGAGGAGGAGAACTTTCGAACCAAACAACTCTTTTTATTTGCTTGGCAAATTGCTAAAGGAATGGTAATTACTATATTATTATTTTTCTGAGAAACGTTGCTTCCATTCAGGTTTTGTTTTCATCCTTCAAAGATCGTTGTCAAAGACTATTCCACAAGCAAGAAATAAAGGAAAAATAAGTTAATTTTCTAGATGATTAATGGTTCTTAGAGGATCGACCCAAATTCGGCATGTTTTGTCTGAACTTGAATCAGCCGTTTAGATCAGTTCAGTTGTGATATTTTACGTTTGATTATTGGCTCCTATAATTTTCACGCCTTCACCCGTGCCTTTTTAGGCAATAGTAGCCCCGTAACTGAAATTTTATGGTACTTATTTTCATTTTTCTCTTTCCTTCTTAAAATTAGAATCATCTCGCCGAAAACAATCTTGTTCACAGAGACCTTGCTGCCCGTAATGTTCTTGTTGGCCATGACAACCAAATCAAAGTGTCAGACTTTGGGTTGATGAGACAAATCTATGAAGATGTGAGCAGCTCAGCGAAGTCCAAAAAACTTCCTGTAAAATGGATGGCCCCCGAAGCACTTTATCAAGGCCTTTACACCACCAAAAGTGATGTGTGAGTATAAAAAAATCCCACTGTTTTAAACTCATTTCGATAAATTACTGCTCTGAAAACCTCAGTCAGCTTCCCTAAAAGTCGTGATCAGCGAGTTTATTTCAAACCGATCTAGAATCTCAGTGGTTATAGTGGCTGATTTCGTACTTGTCAATATAATTTCGACTCGGGGCTACATAGTTTGCATATAAGTCCTGAGTGAGAGCGGCGTCTGCTGAATTCTTAATTCGGAGTGTACGTAAAGATAATTTAGTTACGATTATGCGGCAGACCCCTCACCTAAATTGGTAGTCTTTTCCGATCCCTACTCTATTAACCTTGCTAGGCCTTTGGCTAAGGGCTTTGAGCAGCTGAGGCCTGGTGTCATAGGGTTAAGTCAAGAGCGAAGGCATGGAAAGGTGGAGATACGCCCTTTTGCCTTAAGTTCATCAAGTAAAGAGAAGAGAAGAAAAGTAATGTTAATGCAGTGGGGATATTCACGGCCTCTGTGCTTTTCTCTATAGTTGGTCTTTTGGTGTTGTTCTTTGGGAGATGGCTACATTGGGTGAGTAGACCGTCACACACTAATCATGTAAACTTCCAAGGGGAGGGGAATCCCAAGAACTCTCCTCCCTGTTGCCACGGGGTATATGACTTGAATTGTGCGACTGATATCAAAGGACGACACTGGGACTTAAAGAGTGAGTCCTTATTAAATAAGGTTATTGTTACCAGGAAACAGGCTGATACCTGATGACTTTTATTTGTGGCAAGCTAGGCACTTTTGTTTTGAACTAGGCTGTATGTCTGATAAGTGATAATCGGCATCAAATATGCACGCATTAGTTGTTTTCTGGAAAGAGGAGCCTTATTACTAAGCACCCTGTTTTCTTTGACGACACATTTCAATGCAATTCTGACCCCTGCTCAATCACAATTCTATTGCAAAACGGCATTATTGAGTGCGGGGGAATGAAGAGTCGTCGACATTGACATTTCCAGGAAAAAGCTATCCAGAGTAATAAGCCATATTTTCAAATAATAACATGTATATTTTTTCTTTCGCATAACGTGATCAGGAGGCGTACCATACCCCACGCTGACCAACTCAGAGTTGTATCGACTGCTTGGCACTGGTTATCGCATGGAAAGGCCTGACATGTGCTCCGATGATGTGTACGTTTCTTGATCAGAATAGTCTTAGAACTAAGAAAAAGATTCGATCTTTTTAGTTATAAATAGGCTTGAAAGTTGCAGAGGACAAGTCGGTTTCGATTTTGACGTTTTCTTCGATCAAAGCGATTACTGAACAGACAGACGGCAAAATCTTAGCTTAAATATTTGTTTCATACAGTGATATGATAGTGTTATTAAACAGAGATCGACAGAGCAAGAATTAGCCTGCGAGCAAGCTCTCCATTTGGGCGAGGAAAACGAACCGTGCGAGTACGCGCGAGCGGGGGGCCCCTCGCTGTCGTGTTTCCTCTCGCGTGTCGCACTTGCGTGTACTTGAAGAGATCCCCCAAATGGAGAGCTTGCTCGCAGGCTAGGCAAGAAACCGACAAGCCTAATGATCCGGCGTGAGTGGCTCCCAGCTGGTCTAAAGGAAAACTCTTGCACTAAATCGGAAAAACGGTATCTATACATGTAATAATGGATTGGAACTCTGACTAACTTCAATTGGTTTTTTGTTTTTTTTTTTGTCCATAACAGATATGAGCTGATGGCTGACTGCTGGAAAGAGGAACCTCGCTCTCGTCCCAGTTTCTATCAACTGATCGAAAAACTGGAGGTGATAATGGAGAGGGATGCACCATACTTGCATCTAAACGAACACAATGAAGATCGTCCATATTACAACGTGCCACCTGAAGCTAGTGATGATTAAATATGGAGAAGGAGCTTCCCCAGTAATCAGACAATTTCAGATCAAACGAGTATAAACAGTTAACCAGTAATGATCATTTCGAGAAAGTAATCTTAAAACGTTTGAATAGGAAGTAAAAGTAGAAGCATGGCAAGAACCGTATTAGCAGTAAGGCACCTGGGATCTAATCAGGACTGAGCCCTTTACCCAGGAATGTTCTTGCAAAACGCCTGGGTCATAGCGTGCTAGATTTATATGTTTTAGACTGTTTTTAGGTTCCTCGATCTCTCACGTAAAAATAAAAACAAATCATTAAGCTGTCACATGCTAGCTGTTTTCGTTTCTTCACTATCTGCAGCCTGCGTAGTCAGCGGGATCTGAAGCGCGTCCAGAGTTTTGGCAGAGGACCTGCAAAGCCGCTCACCTTGGGGAAGAAGAGGAGACGTTTTGAAATTCCCTCGCAGCTTCACCGCCATAACTCTCACACGCGCGCGCGCGCCAAAAATTGGGAGGGCCAGCTGATCTAACAGGCAGCCCAAGCGCAGTATGGTTGTTGCATGTGGTACAATATTGCAAAATGAAAGGAAACTATTGAAGATTCGTCCGGGGCGGTAATAGATTCAAGAAGAAAGTTATTAGCAGAAATTAATTAGCAATTAATGAATGAGGCTGAGTATCTCATGAAGAATTATGGATATCGTGCGGCCTCGACGGATAACACCCTCCGAGAACTCCATAATTCTTCATATGATACGAAAGCCGAATTCAATAATTGTTTTTGTTATTCATTCAAAATAATTCCTAGTTTAAAACATGACTAAAACACGCCTATCTCCATCGATCCATCGATGTTAAGTTCATCCTAGATAGTGCACGTTTAGGGTTCACCTACGCAAATATTCTCCAAATAGCAGATGTCGCCCTTCGAGTTGTCGTCTTGTTTTTCTTGCCATGTTTTTAGCTATTTTTCCGCCTATTTTTTCAAGTTAACAACCAAAACAAGTCAACCTCGTCCCCAGGTCTTCTCGGTTGACTGTGCATTAACCTGTAAGAACGCTGCACTTTTGACCTCATTTCCTCGCTAAACACAAAATTCCTCCAAATTTAGTCATCAGTAACCGGTTATGGTGAATTAAACGTGTGCTTTCAGCCAATCAGAATCGGGAAAATATTTTGAATGAATAATAATTCTCAATAAACACATCTCTGACGTTACTTAAATTGGGTGTTTTTGCTTTTTGGCAAAAAAAAAAAAAAAAAAAAAAAAAAAAAACATGAGTGAGCCGCCAACGATCGAATGAAAAAATGTTCGTTGAGTTGATGGGACTGAGGAGCGATGAGGATCTAAGGAATTTCAAGGTCATTTGAGAGGGGGCTTAATAAAGACGGGCGACTTATTTAATTTAGAAAGATGATGGTATGAGTTCTCCGTAAAGAACTTGAGTACAAAGTGGAAAAGCTCAAGTACTTAAGGAGATTGGAGGTCATGCACCCTAGGATCAGAAGCAAATCCGAACTTCCAGAGTTGGTAATGGAAACATTTCGTCTCAGTCCACACCGAAGTTTTACGGTCTATCATTTATTAGTGAAGAATAATTAGGGGAGAGGATGGGGGGCTGGGGGCTTACTAACTTTCTTCCCCAGAAAAGGGGGGCGGGGTTATTGGGGGGAGGGAGCTTATTTATCTTATTTATTAGAGATTGAGACGGGGGGCTTAATAGAGGATTTACGGCATACTTGACATGATCCAGTACGAGAAATATCTTCTTGAGCAGCAAAACCTTTGCGGTGCTTAGGGCTTCGAGTGCGTCAGGTTTTAGAAATCTTGCTTGAACGCACTTACAGCTATCCCAAATTTCCCGTCCTTTGGATGGGTGGAATCGAAAACCCCAGCAGACGATCTGGTCCCAGTTGTTCAAAAGGTGGATAGCGGTATCCGATGGATAAATCTCTATCTAGTGGATAACGCAATTGGTTTCCCAAATACTTATCCACCGGGTAGTGATTTATCCGGTGGATAGCGCTATCCAGCTTTTGAACAACCGGGGCCTGGGGCCTAGGCTCATTTGCGCCCGCAAGGTATGGCGGTAATAATCAAAATGCGGGAAACGAGAGAATATTCACAACCAAGGGATTTGGGTGTAAAAATACCCAAAATGATGGCTTTTTCCTTTAAATTGCTATAATCAGAAGGTAACCATGGCTCTATCTAGTCCAGAATCACCTGTTCCGCCACGCCGGGTTGTAATTAATCGCACTGAAAACCCGAGCGAGGAACACGAGGAGCTGAACAAGATGGCGCACGGCGTTGTGGCAGAAAGTCGAAGGTTTGTATTCATGGTTGAGTTTTCTTTTATGTAGCAAGGTTTCGCTTGGTTGTGTTATTAATGGAGGGAACTTATTTAACTTAGATAATTTACTGAAATTTTAAAAGGTGTATATGCACACGAGCCCAAGCCTAGCTTGATTTATTACATGGCCATATGCATTATTTCTATTTTATGCATTATTTTTATTTTATGGTGCAGTAATAGTAATAGGAGGCAGGTTTTTCTGAAGGGTGTTTTTATCCAAAATATCAATCGAATACTCAAGGAGAAAAAAATAAAGCAATAAATCATTGGTTGGTTGTTTTTTAACAGTCACAGAATCATGATCAACATGCAGTGCATACCAGCAGCCTTTACTAACCGTTGATCAGTTTGTACAGTACTGTTTTCTCATTTCATTTTGTTTGTATAACTGCTTATTTTACTCATTTGACCTTAAGACGGAATCCACCAGGAAATTGAATAATTTTGATTTTCAGTGGACAAAAACCTTGTACGAGAATAATTTAAAGCATATTGCATTCTTTTTTACATTTTTTAAGGGCTAAAGATGTAATTAGTCATCTGTAATAATACCGAAGAAAATTTCCTATAGACGCCCAAGAAAATAAAATGCCAAATTTCACAAAATTGCATCTTTCACATGAAATTTTCAGAACTAAATTAAAATTACTCAATTTTCCGGTGGATTCCGTCTTAATACTAGGCCTATTTTTAGGCCTGCTATTCCAAACCAACTGTTAACTCACTTTTGTAGCACAATATATGCCATGCCACGTCAAGCTGTTTAAATTCCATGCTTGTTTTGTTTACAGTGAAGATGTCTTCTCAAGCTATGCTTGCAACTCATTAAATCATAGAGGAATTAAACATCATCTGGGGGATATTGGAGAAGCTGGTTGCTTGGCGGTAAGTATGTATACTACATGTTTTTTGAAATAGCTTGAAAATCAAACCAAATTTGTCCCTAGTGTGGTTAAACAAGCATTAGACCTTGTTTGAGTCAGAATTTTCTTTGTTTCCTAGCCTCAACAAAGAGAAGTCATTATGTCATGTTGCCCTGCTTACTAGCAAAATTCCTGGATCTCAGCAAACTGTGGCCCTGCAATTATATGGGAGAAAAAAATAGGACTGTATGACTTTCCTATGATTGCACTTAGGACTTTTCTTTCATCATCCGAAAATACAAATCATGAAATGGCCATTTCTGTCTTGAAAGAAGGACTGTTGAGATCCAGAAATCTTGTTACATGATTGTAAAGTGATATCACGCTTTTCCCAATTATTTGTAGGGGACAAAGATAACATTATTCCATTTTATCTGAGAACAGTTTATTCTCACAATGTTCAACTGTCTGCGCTATTGATATTTTTGTTTTTAAAAAGGTTGTTTCATTTTGCGGGTTTTACTGATGATTATCTTTTTAAAGTAAATGCACAATAAAATGGCTACTGATTTAATGTATGTCCCCTCTCTTTTCTAGGCACAGCAGCTACCACAAGCTAAATACTAGTCATTGTTTAAATCGCTTCCACAAGATTTAGTAGAGACAGGTGATGATAATTGACTTATTTACTTTGACCAACATTCTGGTTATTCTCTTGTTTCTTTAAGTCTCTGTTACTTGTGGCTCTCAAGTTCTCTTAGTTTCCTTTGCTCTGTGGCTCTCTGTTATGCCTGGTTTTCCTGATTCTCATGGTTGGTATTTCTCATGGCTCTTCCTGTTATCGTGGTTCTTGTACATGTAGTTCTCCTCGGTTTTGTGATCCTCCACAAGTACATGAACCAGCCTCTGAGGACTACAAGAACCACAGAAACAGGAGACCAATGAATCATGATGCCAATAAGAAGTAGCAAACCATTTTAAATTCAAGAATCAGAAGAACCCATAAGACCATTGAGACCCTGGCAAAAAATGATGATACCGATGAAAAACATGTGCGACCATTCAAATGAGACCTCTTCAACTGTACTTTCACATGGCATCAGACTAAAAAACTAATGGTTTTTTCCACATTTACATGTAAAAACTCTTTAAAAATGAAATTTGAAATTTTTGTTGAATTGGACACTTTGGTCACTTGTTGAAAAGAAGGGGTTTACATATAGTTGGGTTTTACTTACAGCAGCTTTGCCCCCCTCCCCCCTCCCCCCTCCCCCCTTCCCCCTCCTTTAATCAGACACCAAAGGGACAGAACCAAGTGTCCACTTTACAGAGCTGTCTGCTTTAATTACTCATTTAAAGTAATATGTATAAAGTTAGATGTCTTTAAGCTATATATGTGCAAGACAGAGAATTGTTGTGTCCATTTGCACATGGCTAAAAGTTTGTGTAACAACTCCCAACAACATGCAACAACATTGCAACAACATGCAACAGGGTGTGCCAATGGACGCAACATGTAACATTCAACAATGTTGAGAGCTGTTGGCCGACAATGTTGCATACATTTGCATGAGGCTGTAGGATGAAAAGACCTTATAGAGGTGTTTGCATGGAGGGGTTTGATCATATTTTAGGTGATAATTTTGTAATAATATTGATAAAGGGAAATGTTGATAAGCCTATTTTTTTTGTTTACATCAGGCAAACTAAGTGATTTGCAACTGGAAGGAGTTTTGTATGCTGTAAGTATAATTATCACCTTATTAGTATCAAGAACTCTGTCAACATTTGTCGGCTTTTGTATTGCTCTATCTTCTGTCCACGTAAAGCATTTAAAGTATTTGGGAAAAGATGGATTTCCAGCTAAAAATAAATTCATTACAAAAAAGGCCCTTCCAGCTGCTGGGGAGATGTGGTAGCAGAGAGTGTGTTATTGCACAGTCGTGGTCTTGAGTAATAAAATCAAGTTAAACAGCATGAAAAATTCATTTTATAAACTGCTGTTGATTTTTTTTAATAGTGTCAAAGACATCAGATGGTCCTTGCCAATGGACAGAGAGCTGGATTCTTTATAGGGGATGGTGCTGGGGTTGGAAAAGGAAGACAAGTGAGTACATTTTGTTTTTGTACAATTTCATGCTGTTAAGTCGATGAACTGTTGCTTTGTTTATTTAGACAAAAATCAAGAACAATGGCCATTTTCACTGAGGTGCAAATTTACCTCATTTTCATGTTTGCAAAAGCACTTGCCTCGTTTTCATTTTAAAACCATGTGATATCACTTGTATTTTCCATTGCCTCCACATTGCCTCCAAACCATGTTAAACCACTCAAGAATTGGAGTTACTATCGCATTTTATTAATCTTTGATCAGCTGGTAGGGTGTGACAGTTGGTACGGGCGTTCAAAAGAACATACATGGTTGATCATACAACCTTGAAAAGGTCTTAATTCTACTACTATCATCTTGAAAAGTCCTTGAATTTGGTTTAGGTCCTTGAAAAGTACTTGATTTCTTTATTAGGTCATAAAAAGTCTTTGAAATTCACAACCTTGTCTACGCCAGACATCTTTTTCTGTAAAATTAGATTATTTTGCCGAGGAAAATTCGGCTCATCCTCGGTGTAAGAATTGACCTGTAAAACTCATGGGTAACTATGCTTAATTTCTGCACCTCAGATGCAATTGCACGTCATACCCAGTCATTTTGCAAAGTCTTGTTATGGAAAGGAGTATAAAATAATGTGATCAATGATATGGCCAAAGAAGTCAAGACATGTTTTAGCCAATAGGGTGATCAAAGGGGGTTAAAGAATGCCTATGATTTAACAGAAATATCGTAGTCCTTGAAAACTGTAATTTGTCCTTGAAAAATTCTTGAAATGTCCTAGAAATTTGTTTGTTTGAAGTTGTACAAACCTTGAATATAGAACTGTTTGACTTTAAGCCCATTAAATTTGTTGTCAAGATTACACTCCAGTTGTTTTCTACTGTAGATTGCTGGCATTGTGTTGGACAATTTTGCACGTGGAAGATCCAGACATATATGGTTTAGTATTTCAGCTGACCTACGATTAGATGCCCAAAGGTGTGTTCAGATTATTTTTTAGCCAAAGTCTGATTATGTATTCAATGGAATTTTGACCTTTTAACCCATTCGCCCCTGAACCGCCCATAACCGCCCGTGCGGATCCAGGTCCTTTCTACCCTTTGTGACGTCATCAGTTTTAACGGTCAAGGACAACTTTCTTCGGACAACTTTCTTCGCACACGTGTGCAGAATGAAGAGATCTTTCAAACCATACCAGAATGAGCACAATTCAGTCAAGGACACCGGAGAAAGAAGCAAAAACCCACGTGACAAGGACCTGAAAATCTCCATGAAAATCTTGTTCCATTACCCACCTACCTTTCCTTTCACCTAATCCTAAGATCCTAAAAGCTTTCCTAAAAACTCTTCCCACCAAAATGAAGCCTACTAAATGCCCAGCAAGAGAAAAAAAAATGAGGCAAGAAAAGCGCAGAAAGAAGGGAGGAGAGAAAGCGAAAAGTAAAAGTCAAGACTGCTGTGTCACTTTTGAACCCAAAAACTATGTCGAAATTTTGCTTTCTGCGCATGCCCGAACTTCGCAAGCTGATATTTTGCATCTGGATCAGAAGGCCGCCAAGTGTATGACCTGTAAACCGGTTTGTGGTAAGTTTTAGCTCTTTATAGCACGACAGTGACCAGAAAACCACTCGACTAGCTTCAAAACGCGTTTTTCGGCAAAATCTCCAGGAGCGAATTGGTTAAGTCAATGATTTTAACCCATTCACTCCTGGGAATTTTTCCAAAAAATACGTTTTAAAAAAGTCTGCTCTCTATGACTTATTGGCAAGGTAGGTTTTATTACAGATTAGAAGTCGTAAACAGGATTTTCTTTTTCAAAATCATCTTCTGGTCCCTCAGTCGATCCTACAGGATGCGGGCAGTAAATTATTTTGCATCTTTGGAGATCTGATGCATCAGGAGCACAGGATGCACAGGCAGGGGTAACAAAATCACTGCAGCATTAAGTTCATAATTCCACATTTTTTTCGCGCTTTTATGTGTAACCCATTCACCCACTAGAACAAAATGGTCTGGGGGTAATATTGGAAGGAATATTCAGAAGCATTTCCACACCAATTATCCAATAAAATCGATAAAATCGGCTTTGGATTTGGATTCACTGATTCTGGACCATGACAGATTTTTCATGATGTGAATCCCTACAGCAGTTTGTTACAAAATCAGGGATGCTGGTAATTGCTCTCTCTCTGTATAGCTGTAAAATACTATATTAACCCAAGAAACTGACAAATTTCTGATTGTTTTTCATTAGTTTGTCAGAGATTTACATGACATTGGTTGTTTTGTCAAAGTGATAGACGGTTGTCAGCAGCTGGATAAAGAAACCAGGTACATGAACTCGAATACCATGGGTGCATTAGAGTGGGGCTAGAGGGCCATGCCCTTCCCTGCCTTTTTGTCTTAAATGTTGTTAAATTTTAGCGAAAATTCTCTCAACATCTGTCTTCCAGAATCTCAATTTTTGGACAAAATGCTCTCAGAGTTCTCCCTCTTTTGGAATTTTTTAAATCTTTCTCTGAATACTACAAGTTATCTACACTGGCTGGTGTCCATTGTTATCATTATGTAACACAATATATTCTTGGGCAAGGTACATAAATTCCTTTTCTTAATAATGATTTTCTAAGAGTTCTTTTTCAAACCAATCTGTGCATGCAAGTTTCATCAAATTTCATTTTCCTTCAATTCAGGTGTATTATTTTTTCCCCAAGTAATAATCTGATCCAAAATCTTTCCAAGCCAACTATTGCTTCCTACAGTGTAAAAGAAAGGAGAAGTCACCCTGCCATGGTAGCAAAATTTCTGGGTCTCAACAAACTGTGGTCCTGCCAATATGGTGGGGAAAGAACAACAAAAGATTTTTTTGTGCATTATTGCACTTAGGAATGAAAGGGTTGCTGGTATTTTCCTTCCATCATTGGACAATACAAATGGCTGTCCGTCTCTGTCCAGGAAGATTATTGATCCAGAAATCTTGCTTCCATGATAACGTGACATCACTCATCTCTCTATGGAAGCAATATTTTGTGATTTATTTGACAGTAATGATAGATCAGTAGGAATTTTAATACAAATCCAATACTATTGACATTATTTTGTTTTACAGAGTATTTGGCTTACCTGCTGATTTTAAAGAGAGTGTTGTCTTCAGTACATACACAACACTGGTGTCGTCTGTTCAAAAAGGTGAGCCTGCAGTGTGAATGTCATCTATCACTAACAATACACAAGGTTCCTGTTTTTGTTGATCTGTTTTATTATCTTTTTGACAGGTGCCAATCGTCAGAGCAGATTGCAACAGCTCATAGACTGGTGTGGTGGTGAGCAGTTTAATGGATGCCTCATATTTGATGAGTGTCATAAAGTAAAGCATTTTGTTCCTGTAAGTGATTTACAGTAGTTTAGCCCTTATTCTTTGCATTCATAATTGCAACAAATACATGTAAATACCTTATTTAGGGCAAAAAAAAAAAAACAGATTGACTTTAATGTACAAACTTAGTCATAATCTAGTAGACATAAACACAGAAGAACACTTAATACCAAACAGTGAATTAAGAACACGCAACAGCCATGCTTTTAAGTATAGAATGCCAAAAGTTTCTAAGGATGTTTTTAAGTTTTCCTTTTTTCCTAGATCAATAACAGAGTGGAACTCACTTCCCTGATTTTAAGTTAAATTTAGGAAAGTACGTGAAATAAGTGAAGTAAATTATAATTTTGAATTACAATGTATCATCTATTTATTTTGTTATTTGACATATTTACGTTTATTCAACTTATGCATATGTACATATACGTATATATAATATAAATATATTATATCTTATTTTAGCTTTTATTACAGTTGATGTGATGTCTTATAAGAGTTTATCAACTTAATAAATGTAGATGTAGATGTAGTCTATGTAGATGAAAAAGCATGGTTTATTAGAAACTGCCACTATCTGATCATCATTATACAATTTATGTTTCGTATGAAGTGGATGAGAGGACAACAGTTTGTGTTCCCTTTACCGTCATTACATACAGTTCACACAAAGCATGACTGGGCACTGGGTTTCTTGAGAATGGAATTGGTCTTGTTACACTCATTAATGAATGTACAACCATTACACTTTCCACGCAAATTCACTGATCAGTCAGAGTGATGCATATTGACACCAGAGACAGATGTTACAAGTCATGGATTCAACTAAGTACTCTGCTCACTGCAGCTTATTTCATTTTAGGGCAAAGAAGAGTCCAGCGCAAAAGTTGCTCTTGCTGTCACAACAATACAAAGGTATGATAAAGTTATTCAACTTCATTTTTGAATATCAATTGTTACAATGTAGCATGTAATTAACACTCTAATGTAATAATTAAAGTGCTAATAATTTTACAACTTGAAAGAAGCAGGGAGCAGAGATGGAGCAGTTGTGATCGAGCACTTGCCTCCCACCAATGCAGTTCAAGTTCAATTTCCAGAGTTGATGCCAAAAACGTTGGGAGGGGAGGTTTGGCGAGTGAGCCAATTAAAGTAACTGTACGCGTCTGCTCAAAATTAAAAACGAGCTGAAAATCGGTTTTTACAAATAAAGTCGGGAAGAATTCTCGATATTTTGCGGGCGTTTTTATTAAAACGTTTATTTCCGATATGAGATGATTATAGCCAACTCATATCCAACACGCACTTGTGGAATGATTGTTAAATATACCTGACCTCCTTACTGTCTCTACAGAGTTCCCCCCAGCCTTCCCCTACAGTGACTGCTGTGCCCAAATTTTCTCTGCTTTACAGATTTATTCTTTTTTCACTTCATAGAATGCTACCCAAAGCTCGTGTTGTGTACTGTAGTGCAACTGGTGTGACAGATGTAAAAAATATGGTAGGTGCAGAGTAAAGTATTATTTCATATAATTTACAGTAACGTGATTTTAACTGAGTGTCAGGAAACAGTATGTTACTATTAAAAGGTATCCAACTTTGCTTTGCTAGTTTTTCGCAAACAATGCACTAAGTAAAGGCTGGCATGTACCTTTTAAAAGTACGCTGTACGCCGTTAGCATCTTATGTGATACCACTGTACAAAGTTAAAACTTTAAAGTGACACTTGATCTTGCGACTTGATCTTGTACCTGGGAACAAAGATTTTTTAAGGCGAAATACCGTCGGTTGCATCTAAGCGTGGACACGAGACAAAAAAAAATGTTCTAATAGGGTGCCAGATATGACGTGTTTTGCCGCCAAACATTTGAAGTTTGACAGCCGTTAAAGCAAACTGTCAAGCCAAAGGTAAGTTTGTAGCCAATTAGAACAAGTTTTTTCCTCAGGTGTACACGCTTAGATGCAACCGACAGTAATTATGATCGTCGGGATGAGTGTACTGAACAGGACTGTTGTTTACAGTGATTAACGTTGTGACAGGTCTTCAGGCCCTATCCACATGTATCGGGATAGCTTTGAAAAGGAAGACTTTTTTCTCCATTCTTGCCTCCATCCTCACATAAACGGCCTTTTCAAAAAGACCCAGAGGGGAGATTTTTTAAAACGCCGGCTTCTCGTTTAAAGTGGGCTGTCGAAAACGGAGATTTGTGAACACGATTATGTCATGCACCATATACTACTAGTATTACGCATGCTCTGTAAGGGATGCTATCGTCTTTCCATCGTTTTAGGGTTTTCATGTGGACAGGCGAAAACGATTCAAATACGATTCATGAAGACGCCTATTTTTTTTTTTGAAAATCGTGGAAAAAATCCCCATTTTCGAAAATATCCGGATACGTGTGGACAGGGTGTCAGGGTCAAAGTCAGTTGTATCACCTCAGTTGATGGTATTAAACTCTGGTTCAAGGTACATGATTTCTAGGTACTCAGTAGAAGAGCACAAAGACTCTTGTTGCATGAAGTTTTTAAACTCTACAATAATTGCTGACAGATTATTACAGCAACCATGTCTAGAAACCTTAGGTTTCTGACAATGTTCCCATTCAGTCCAATAGTCAATCAATACAGTACACTGATACAGTGATTTGATTATTTTCAGGCATTTATGGAGAGACTTGGTTTATGGGGAGATGGAACAGCATTTAAATCGTTTGATTCTTTTCTAGCCAGCATAACTAAGAGAGGTCTTGGTAAGTGGCATAGTTTTCAGCCTAGACTACGAGCAGTTTCTCTGTTTTCTTAGTCCGTCGTGCAAAACACCGAGACACGCAAATGACCACGCGCAACACTCTCTCGCGCGCGTGCCCTCCCCTCACTAAATCTGAAGAAAAGGAGAGGCTGCTGGCTGTCTATTTTCAGCCCCAATGATCCACATACAAATTCTCCCGACTGATCCCCCTACCTTTCCTTAAAGAATTAGTTGAGAGATTTTGGTGATTATTTTATGAATTCTCTAAACTTTTTCTTGTAATGATTTATGGATATTTTTAGGAGAAAATTGATGTTAATCACGTTTGGTACTCAGTGGGATAAAGGGGTTATATCAGGATGACGTCCATATACTTGTCAATGTTGAGCTGAATTTGTACTTGGAACTCTAAAAAGAAAGCTATCAAATGATTCGATCTAAGCCAAGGGGAAGTAACGCATGTTCGTTTCTGGTCATTTTTCGAAGAACTCCTGCCTGCCGTACCATGCTTAGCTGTGATAGGAGCGTAAAAGATCTTAAGCGGCAGCGCTTCCTTGGACCGGTTCTGGCAAATTACTCGAAACCTTAACCAAATATATGGGTACACCACCTGTACTGTAACCGTGGAGAGACGGCTAGCTAGGCTATTGGCTAGAACGGTGATGCGCCATGGCGATGCTATTACCGCGTCTCGGAAATCATGGTCGACTTTTCTATAGCCTGTCCCAGGCTTTGAAATAGTGGATTGTGGTGCGAAGTTAGAGAACGGGAAAAAAATAAGGAGAAAGAGGGGGAGAGGGAGAGAGAGGAAGGAATTTCGCCCTCATTCCCTACCCCACCCCTAGCTGTTTTTCCTGCTCACATCTCCTTGCGTCGCCCTCATAATCTGAACTCCTGGAACAGGCTACTTTTTATGTAACGTGGCAAACACGTTCGCTCTCACTTCTCCATCGGCAGAAACGATGTATTTTAAGGTCACTAATATTTAAAATCTTTCCTAGGTGCTTCTGAAATGTTAGCTATGGAAATGAAGGCATCAGGGATGTACGTTTCTAGAGGTCTTAGTTTCAGACAGGCTGAGGTAATGCATAATTTTAGAAATGGCATCGTAATTTTCTGTTGTAACCAGAAGTTTTTCTAACATACTGAAATATAAGGCTTTTTTTTGCAATGCTTATTTCTTCTCTTCTTTTCCTTTTTTGTTAACAAACTTTGATAATGCTTTTTTGTCGCATTTCTGCAGTTTGTTAATGTTGAGGCGACACTGACTGCGGAACAGAGAAAGGTTTATGACACTGCAGTTCACGTTTGGTACGTATGGCAATGTAAAAAGGTTAAATCTTCGTATTAAATAACTGCTTTAAGTAGACCACAACTTAAGATGGAATCATTCAGTGGTTTGTTGTACCAGGGCTCCGGGATTAACTTATGTGATTTCGTAGAAATTGCACTCAAAACTTGTGCGTTTGTTTGAGTCAAAGCAAAAGCAAAACAACAAGCACAGTCGGTATTCTGAGAAGTAACGGTTGTGTGTATGTTTCGCAATCATAGTGTGAATATGTTTCAGCTTTTTTCCTTTTCGCTTTAAAGGAGCGAGTTAAAGAAGTCATTAGAATTTGCCATTGGTCGCACCACTTCTTCTACACCAAGGGTGTGGTCAGTCTTTTGGTCCTGTCATCAGCGGTTCTTTAAACAGCTCTGGTGAGTATTTAATCCCGTCTCTGGTCTTTTAGGGGCGGATATTACAACAGAGTTTAGACGTTATTTAACAAAACACCGTTCTAACGCTCATACCTTAGCATCGTTTGTTGTTCATATCAACAAGAAAGCGACAGCGCAAATTAGAAAACCATTTATCTACTTGAAATGAGTACCCTACCGACTGATTAGGAGATCCTCTTATTGTTAGACGTCGTTTAAGTAGCCGACCTTAAGATTCACCTTAACATTATTGCCCTCTTATTTCCAGTAATGTTGTGCTCGATGCTAGTTTATTGGCATAAGGCTGAGTCGGTATTGTCTCCAATTGCACCGTGGGACTGTTTGCAGACGCTATCGCCGTTTTATTGGATATTATTAAAAACTTTATCATTGGATAATGCAATTCTAGAGCTCTGATTGGACTGTACGCGTTTGCTCACAATTAAAAACAAGCTGAAAATCGTTTGTTTTTACAAATAAAGTCGGAGAGAATTCTCGATATTTTGTGCGCGTTTTTAATAAAACAATTATTCCACTTGAGCTGTTGGATATGAGATGGTAGATACCAATGCGCACTCCTGGAATAATAGCCCATTTTCGAGTTCGCTATGACCTCTGAATTAAAGAAGTGAAGACGCATTTTTTACATCCTTAGCCTCGAAGTGAAGTAATATATTCACAAATTCAAACGAGACCGAAAAAGACCTCTTTATTACTCTGTCTATTGTGTATATTCAAATTTCAAACACTTACTTGGGCCATCCCCATAGAATGTTTCGTTTCCCATCGCCCTCCTCTCGTGAAGGTGGGTCGGTCGATCGGGCAAAAAAAAAAAAAAAAAAAAAAAGAATGAACACATGATTGCATATTAAATCTCACGTTTAGTCTGCAAGATATAATCAGATGGTAAAAGATGTATATTAACAGGACTATCAAATGTCTAAAAGGCTACAATGATAATTTAAGACAATTGGTGTTAATAAGACAAGATCGTGTGCTTTTAAATTAAAGTACTTGCTTCTTTACAAGTGATTCTGGAATTTTTTTTTTTTTTTTTACTTTTTTGAGTGAGAAATTAATGAACAAGCAACGGAAACAAACCCTAGCCCTGAAATAATAGAGCTACGTACCTGGTGGAGCGAATGAAATTATAGTTTTTAAAGGGCTTCGTGACAGTGGCAATGTAAGGTAATCCAAGACAGTCTTTGATTCTGGATTGCACGCTGTGGATTCCGGAATCGTTATCACTGGAACTTGGATTTGGGATTTCCAATCGTCAGCGGGATTACGGATTCCAAAGTCCAGGATTCCGGTTATCGCCCGAAAATATTTCCTGGATTCCGGAATCCGAATTAGCTGATCCTGGGCGGATCATTATACGTTTCTGGGAAACTGCCCACCTACTCCTCCCTTAAGCTAACATTTGCCGTAAGTGAGAAGCAAGTGTTGATGTTGGCTTAGGGGAGGGGTGTGTGGGCAGTTTCCCAGAAACGTATAATGATCACATGGGGCAATTTTGCCAGTATCATGTTCCACTTTAAGCGCCAGCAGGCATTTTTACTTTGTAACCTTGCTTAAATTGGGTCTGACAATAGATAAGATGTATATGAATATTTTACAGCATGAGTATGAAAGTTCCTACCATAGTGGAAGAAGCTCAGCAAGCATTGCGGGCAGGATATTGTGTGGTCATTGGTCTCCAGTCCACTGGAGAGGTTTGTTTCCTCTTTCTCTCCAGTTTTTTTCGTACGGGTTACAATTTCTGATAACATAAACATTCCTTAATTCAACGGTAGCCAGTTTTAGTTTTAAAACGTGGTGTTTGAGACACTGAGAACTTCTTGCAAAGTTAGTAGAAAGTACGTACCAAATAATTGTTCGCCCCTCACATTGTAGGTTCCATAGGTAGATGCACTTGATGCAAAGTTAATCGCTGCAAGTATTTTATCTTTCTTCAAAGGACGTATGTACGATCAAGTCAGTATTTCTGTCGGACAATACAAAAAAAAAATGGTTGAAATCATTTCAGGACGCACTGTGTTTAACTCTGTACAAAATAATTCACTGAACGTATCATAACTTCCACCTGTTCATAGCCTGTGTACAGCTGCACCCTCCCCTCAGAAAAAATCGGAGAAGGGGCCCCTGTACACGGGCCACATTTTCACTGCATTAATGTTAGTTTGTTGGCGCAACAATCCAACTGTGTTTAGGCGGATTTTGCTCATCTGGATTGTGATAGTCCAGTCTATTAATTTTGTCCAGAAGTTATGGTAGACCACAGTTCACTAGACTGCATATAGTACATGGACTAGTTTTGTCAATTTTAACCAGGCATTGCCCCATGACCGACTCGTATTTGCAACTCCGGCTTTGTGTCTTGAGGCACAAAGTAGATGATCTAGTAAATAGGGAGCTTAAACAACGACTGCAATGGCAACGAGAACGGCAAGAAGCAATAGGTTTAGATTAACCGCGGCAGGATTAGCTCAGTCAGTAGAGCGCTTGACTGCAGAGCGGGAGGTAGCGAGTTCGATTCGCCGGGCCGAACCAATACTCAGGGTCTTAAAATAACTGAAAAATGAAGGTACTTCCTTTGCTCTGCAAGCGGCGAGACCCTCGCGTTGCTCAGATGACCACGTGAAATGGCGGTCCCGTCTCCATTAGGAGACGTAAAAATAGCGTCCCCAATTAGCACTTTCGTGCTAAATACATTGACACTTTTAGCAATACAATAACTTTGCACATAAATCACGCTTTTTTTTGTGAATTGCACGTTTCCTGGAGGACGTGAACACAACAAAACCATCTTTTTTTTCACTGACTAAGAAACCTTGGACTCCAGAAAAATTTACCAACATTTGCCTTCAACGACATGGAGTAACAGCGATGAATTTTGAAACGGCGTAAACTACATTCACTTTTTAGGAGACGTTTTGGCTACCACCGTCGTCATTGCTGATACTCCCTAATGATCATGAGTTAGTGGGTGCTTGAATTTAGGGTTTGGCTTGTGCGAAAGCAGTGTGTCGCTAAGGGTGTGGTCATCATTTCATTTGTCAGGCAAGTTTGGAAAGTGAAATATCACGTTGTGGTGGAATACTGAATGGCTTTGTCTCAAGTACAGAAGAAATCATCAGCAGGTTTATCACGCAGTATTTTCCAACTCAGATAATCAAATCGGTGAGTAATTCTGAAGAACCCTGCTTAGCTGGTGGGATCTAGCTCACGCGAGTGCTCAATTACACGAGCGCTTTGGTTTTGGCTTTGTAGATGACGAAGATCTTTTATTTCCCGTAGCGACTTCAGCGTCGCCGAACAATGTTCATGCGCTTTGATCCCACCAGCTACGCAGGCTAATCTCAAGGATGATACATCACACAACCAATGGATAATTTTTTAACATTAATACACTTTCTGCGTTTCACATCTCAAAGATTTGATTGTGCTTCTCCTGTTGTAATTCATAAGCTACTGAAGTCCAGTCTAATAGTCTTGTTTTCGTTTTGAACTATGTTAAGTAAATAAAAAAGAAAAAAATTCAAGGCTTTTGTTTATTTGTGTAGAACGGCGATGTTGTTGAAGATCAGTGGAGTGTTCAGGCTAAAAATCTTCAAGGTTTTGTCAAGAAAATTAATCTTCCAGTCAGGTTTGTATGAATGTTAAGTTCTTTAACCCCCTTTAAAGGGGCCATGGCATGAGAAAATTGCTGTTTTCGGTCAATTCATTACTTCTTGCCCTTACCTATTGAGTATATACAAACAAATTTTTAATCATGGAGCACTAACCACTAATTTTTTGGGTGACTGTTACAGGCATAGCATTAAAACTTGAACAACATGGTACAACGTTTTCAAGTTTAAATCCATGCCCATTCTTGCCATCCGTTGCAACAGACGACAGAAACAAGTTTCAGTGCTTAAAATATTCTAAAATAACAAATTTGCCGCCTTATTTTTGGGATTAATCCTGGGTGGGGATGGAAAGGATCCTGTTATGGACTACCATACACTGTCTCACTCCAGCCAGGTGTATAAATTTGGGTACCAAAAGATTTAATCCTGGGTGGAGGTGGAAGGTATCCTGTTATGGACTACCATACACTGTCTCATTCCACCCAGGTGTATAAATTTGGGTACCAAAAGATTTAATCCTGGGTGGAGGTGGGAGGGATCCTGTTATTGACTACTATCCCGTCCAAGGAAGAGCAAAAATATTCCTAGTCGCTTCATGCTATGGAGATCGGAATGTGCTACGGCCAAATGGGCCACCTGGCTCGATCGCAGACTTTACCTTCGTACCTTTTTGACTTATTTTTGTCTCTAGTCCTCTTGATGACCTTATAAACCAGCTCGGAGGACCAGGAAAAGTAGCAGAAATGACAGGCAGGCGTGGTCGCGTGGTAAAAACTGACAAGCAGCCTCAACCTCATTACGAGGCTCGAGAATCAGACAGCAGCAATGTGGATAGTTTGAATATTCAAGAGGTGAGCAAAGTAATCAGAACTAAATCTTGCGCCGTGTTCTGAATAAAATGGTAGAAAATGCGATTTACAGTCGGTAATTACAGTCATCAGCACAGACGTCATCCTCGGCCGAGACCCTGGAGCAGGCAGCCAGGTCGAAAACTTTCGTCGCACGACTCGTCGCACCGTTTCTGCCGACCTGACTGACTGCCCCTGGGTCTCCGAGGATGAACTCTGCGATTGTCCCTTTCATTTAAAAACAGGACCGTCGTTTCAGCGCGAGAAAGACAGCGTAGTTCTTGCTTTTGTTACATGTTCCTTGGATTAACTTTACAAGTGTAGTCCAACCTTAAATTCTTACTCTAAATCTGAATGAGATTCATGTATGCCGTGAATTCAGGTAGCAATCCGGTTTCGGATCTTGGTTTCATTCCCAGTATTTTTCGCTTTCGCTATGACAACCAAGTCCGCATTAAGCAATTGCTTGAAGCTCAAGGATTGTCTCTTTAATACCACAGTTTTTAGAGAGTTGTTTGAGTATAATTGAACATTAAACGTTGTGTTTTTGATTGCATTGTATCACAGAGGAACAGTTTTATGAATGGAACAAAACTTGTTGCCATTATATCTGATGCCGCCAGCACTGGTAAGTTCCCTTTGCATCTTGGTTCTTTTCAGGGTTCGTACAGAGTCTTGAATTCTTGAAATTTGCCCAGCAATTTTCCAGACCTGAAAAAAGTCTTGAAAATTGAGGTAAAGTCTGGAAAATTAGTTACAAGCTTGGAGTTTTTTTTTTTTTTTCAAAGCTATAACAAGTGCTTCATAAGTGAATTTTTTCCCCTGGTCAAATCGTATTCAATCTCGCCCGTATTGAAGACATTTAATCACAGAATGAGAACTTTTATAATTCTTGTATGTCCGCGTTGCACCGTGGTTACCGTACGTTTGCAGTGCATCATGAAAAAGCTTGGTTCCTGCGTTTTTCAAGGTCTCTATTGATCACCTATTTGTTTTCCTTGTGTCTGGAAAAAAAGTATATTGTTTTAGAAAAAGTCTGGAAAAAAAATCGTGAATTTTGGATCCAAAAATCTGTACGAACCCTGTCTGTTGAAGTTACTTAGATAAAACCTTGCACTTTTTAAATTCTTTTGATACTTGAAAATTGAGGGCAACTGAACCTCAAGTTACTTTCACGCAAAGAATCGCTGGCTCAGTGACTGTTAGCGTTCAATTGAGTTGCCATTGCTTGGAATTTCGCGCAGAAACTCGAACTTTAGAGTGATGTTTCTCGACTTGAAATTCTACTCAAGCCGGAATAAAAGAGTTTTCCTCGGGTAAAAGGAAGCGCAATAAATACCGTCTATAAGTGACAAGACAAGACAAGATAATATTTTATTTGGGTCTTATTCCACCTGGTACATCGACTGCTTTCCAAATAATTTAAAATTACAACTTTCTATGTGATATAATTTGTAATAGTCATTGAATTATCCTGCACAGGTATCTCGTTGCATGCGGATCTCCGAGCAGCCAATCAGTGCCGCCGTGTTCACGTGACCATTGAGCTGCCATGGAGTGCTGACAAAGCTGTTCAACAACTGGGAAGATCACACCGGTCAAACCAGACAAGGTACATGCCCTGCCAAAACATAAACATTCCTATCCCTTTGATATAAGCTATTTTCTTGAGAAGAAGCTAGAGTTGCTGGAGGCGTACACTACATCCACATCTCAATGGTTGCACGCTGCACGTTTACCACTTTTTAATTGTACCTTCGCTTGATCAGCCTTGTTGGAAGGGTAGCGTTCTGCCAAGCAGGTTTAAACCCGCCGTTCAAGCCCAACACCAACCAGGGTCTTCAAAAAACTGATAAGATCATGCTGGCCGTTATGTAAGATCTTGTCTCAGTATAGATGATCTGGTAATCACGTCAGTAGGCGGTGATGTTAATCCATTGGCCTTGTCTCTTTCACTCTTCCCTAACAATTCGAAGGGGAGGTAAAAAGAACCCACACTGCTATTCGTAAAGAGAGTGAGACGTAGACCTCTTTGGTGTGGTTTATCTCTCACGTGAAGGGGCTGTCACGGGGCCGCAATACTTGGCTTCTCACTTTTACGGTTACTCTGCCAGAAAATGGACAATCTAGTAAAACAAGAATAAAATTTCTTGTGACTAAAATTCTGAAGGCTTTCCTGGAATATCAATACTTCCATAGTAGCCTGTGTACAGCAACCTCCTCCCCTTAGGAAAAAACCGGGAAAGGGGAGGGGGTGGCTGTACACAGGGTACTCTCATGATCACTTTTCCTTCGCCAAAATCCCCTTTGTACCATGGGAGTCAGAAGAGGGAGATATTACGTGATAATGTCCACCGTCTAATTGGCGCGCTCGGGAGCTCCCCTTTTTGCTCTAAATTTGACTTTGTTTTAATATCTGGCTCTGAGAGTTGTACTCTAATGTTTTCTTTGTTTTTTTTTAGTGGACCAATCTATAAACTTGTAACAACAAACTTGGGTGGTGAAAGAAGATTTGCTGCGGCTGTGGCTCGACGGCTTCAGTAGTTAGGTAATGTTTAAATGTTTGTCAAACTCGGAAAATCGTGAACACCAGACGTATTCTGAATTATTCTCACGGAGTTCCAAGGAAAAGTACTCGCAATAGGAGTAGAACCTTTTACCGTCTGGTTACTAGTCCAGATGCACTACCACTAAGATATTCTTCTAGCACTAGTTCTAGAGATTCTAGCAGTATAATCAGTGTGAACAACCTGCATGTAATACTGCTAGAGTGTCTCGAACTAGTCCTAGCAGAATATCTAGTACATTCTAGTCCTAGGAGTATGCTGGATGTTTGTCACGTAACCCTAGTTTAGTGGACTTAGCTCTCACGAGTCTCCTTTAGTACAGTGGTCCAGCATCTGGACTAGTAACCAGGACATAGGTTCTCTTTTGGTTTCCTATCCAAGAACATCAATCCATTCAACTAGACAGCCATGACAGAGCGCCTTTAAGTTTTTGTTTTGTTTTCCGCAGTGCACTTACCAAAGGTGACAGACGAGCAGCGACTGGGGCCGACTTAACGCAGTTTAATTTTGACACGCCTTACGGCCGATCTGCACTCAGGAACATGTACCAAGCCATTACTTTGGTATGTCAATAGCCTATTCCAGGATAAAAGATAATAGCGCAGTCCAGCAGTAAAAAGTGATGCGAAAAATGCGCGGGGCTAGGGAAAGAGGTGGCGGTTGGGGCGGTCTCTTTTATTTTTCCCGCCATCGCCCCTTCCCCAAATCCCGCGCGTCTTATTTTCGCGACGTCTCTACTATCTGAGAGCCTCGCACAAGCTATACCGAAAAATCCCATTATATACGCTCAGGGCTTTAACGTGGGATTTTACGGTATTGGTCACGAATTAGAACTATGTGTACTTGTTGCTTGTGTCATCTACGAGAGAACGTTTTTTATTTGATCGCGAACTTTTTTGCCTTTTTTTCAGCAATCCATTTGTCCTGGAGTTGCTTTGTCTAAGGTTCTGTTAGCAGCACAAATTCCCGACAAGCATGAATTCACAGAGTTTAACTCCATTGCAAGGGTGAGTTTTACTTCGTTGGTCGCGAACATGGTTAAAATTCTTGTTTAATTTCTCTCCTTAAAAGTGGATTTGGAAAGAAAAGTTATGATGTCAGAAACAATTTTATGTATCAGTTAGGCAGTGATATTGCTTCATAAAAATTCTGGGCAGCACGCGGGAATGGAGAAAGGATAAAGTCATTTTGTAATTACATATGGTATGGTGCGATCAGCAAAAAATGACTTGACAGGAAAAATTAGAAAGACATTGTATATTGGCAACTCAATACCCACCAGCTATTTTGTATTTAAACACGTCTGATAATGAATTTCATTTTTAGCTTATGAAATAAATTTGGAATCAGGGAATGTTTCATATCGACTTTTAAGGCCAACAAGCCCTATACTGTTGGTCAATCGTGTGGACAAAATTTCCGTGCGGGAGAGCAAAAAAAGGCATTGGGACAAGAGACAAACAAAGGAAATAACCATTTGGAAAAATGTAAGCTCCTTGTTTGTCTTGTCCCATTGCGTTTCTTGCTCCTCAGCTTGGCTTTTATTGTTTCCACGTGACTAGTCTAGCTTGCGTCACAGACAAAACTAAATTCTGGTTAAGTCCGTCTGCAAGACAGCGCCGATATCCTTGTTCTGGGCACCCACCTGTGTACCAGGATTTGAGTATGCGCCATGATTGCCATCAGGTTGAAAGGAAAGGTCAGCATTAGAGCCCCTTTCTCCCCTCGTGAAATTTACACAAGGTAGAACTGTTTTCTGCTTTTATATCACACTTAGATGATATTTCAAGCCGGAAATGTTCATGAAAGTGCTAGTCTCTTCAATTTAAAAGAAAAAAAGAAATTGATATGAATGAGGATTTGCTGGATGGAAGTGAAATAATTTAAGTACAATACCAATACAGCATCAACCCTAACCCAAAAAAAGAACCTAACAAGTTTCGAAACAGTGCTTAACCCTAATCCGTAAAGGCGTGCTTAACCCTAATCTGTAAAGGCGGTGCTTAACCCTAATCTGTGAAGGCAGTGCTTAACCCTAATCTGTAAAGGCAGTGCTTAACCCTAATCAGTAAAGGCAGTGCTTAACCCTAATCTGTAAAGGCAGTACTTAACCCTAATCTGTGAATGCAGTGCTTAACCCTAATCTGTAAAGGCAGTACTTAACCCTAATCTGTGAAGGCGGTGCTTAACCCTAATCTGTAAGGGCAGTGCTTAACCCTAATCTGTAAAGGCAGTGCTTAACCCTAATCTGTAAAGACAGTGCTTAACCCTAATCTGTAAAGACAGTGCTTAACCCTAATCTGTAAAAGGCAGTGCTTAACCCGGGTTAGTAAAGGGGAAAACTACGTTGTGTAAATTTCGTGAGGCGTCCGAAGGGGCTACGGTCGATGGGATCTAATGATAACCGAAAGGAAATTGGAAACGCAGTTCCGGCAAATCGCTGAATCTGTTGGGGGCCCAGAACAAGGATCTCGGCGCTGTTTCGCAGACATTACTGGGAATTGGCACTAAAAAATATAAATAAAACCAAATCGGCAAGTTTAAATTTACGCAACTCTGCACAAAAGCTACTCTAGCGTAGGAGGATTTGAGGAATTTAATCTAGTATAGGGTAGCAAAATTCAGCTGAACTAGCTCTGGTATAGGCTAAGGGTTACAGGGTTCCAGCGGCAAATCACCACCCGAGATTACATCTGCGACACAGGCTATCGGTAGTCTAGTTTCATATCAGTGGTGACTCATGAAGAAAGTCTTTCTCAGTGGTTGTCCATTACATTTACCGAGGTGTCCAAATGACTGAGTTACTCTCAAGTTTCACAAAGCCCTGTTTTCTTTTGTTTCACAGCAATGTCTTCTGTCCATGGGAGTAACATACGCCGGTTTTGCAGTGAAAGACAAAGAAGCCAGCGATGTGGGAAAATTTCTCAACCGTATTTTGGGTCTTAGTGTGGAAAGACAAAATTTGGTAAGTACAAAGATCCTATGGTGGATATAAAAGCTACGTTCGAGAGGGAAGTTCCTTGACTACCCTTGTTTTCTAACTTTTTCTGCTATTTTGAACCCCTGTTGTGAATTTTATCGGTCGATTTCTCGGTCTTGTTTGTATCTATGTCAGGACTAGCTGGCCAAACCGGTCATAATGAAAATGAATTTTTTATTAATCACTGCCGCATGCCGCATGCCGCATACCGCATACCGCATACATTTTAGAAATAAACTGATCTGTCCGGATAGGCCTGATTAAAGGTGAAATTCTCCTTGCAAGGGGTAATGGTAAGCGCCCTAACACTATCTGTTATTGAGTTTTCTTTTTTGATTCTGTTTCCCATTTCTGTGGTGTTCCTCAATCAGTCGCCCATGGAATTCGACTTTTGATTGAGTCTGATATCCAGATTTTACTGCTCCTTCAAGTTATAGGAAAGATTAGATGGCTGACACCACAAACTCGGCTAACGGTATATCTCAGATATAAAACTTTCTCATCTACGCCGGTAGCTCGCTACAACAGACGCTTCTGCAGGGTTCGTACAGGTCATGGAAAACCTGGAAGGTCATGGAATTTAAGAGCGGATGTCGGTAAATATCGACCAGAGGTCTACAAAAGTGAAAAATCGAAAATTCTCAAAAAAATTCACAAAGTAGCACTAGTTAAGCTATTAACATAAATGTAATTTTTACTTCGATCCGATAATTATTTTCCACGTACGGGGGTATTGGTTTCGCGGCTCTCGGACTGGGTTTTCCAGGCCCGAGACCATGTGTCACAAAAAAATCGTTTTAAAATTCAAATCCATTGTAATGTGGACAACAAATAACTTAACTTTTTTTTATCGAAATCTTTTCAAAGAAACAAGCTTTTGCTACATCCCTCTGATTCCGCACTAAAACCTGCGCCAATCCGTGGATTTACGCTCCCATGTACAGTCGAACTCCGCCTTGCAGACACTTGCTTAATACGGACACCATCATTATTACAGACGGTTTTCTTTTTCTCTGGGGAAAGAAAGCCGTTACATTTCCTCTAAAATTTGTCTAGAATTTTCTATTACTTGAGGACGGCTAAAAATTTGTACAATTTTCGAAGCTTATCTTATAAATAACCCACGATTTTCTGAAATTTTATTTTTCACATTTTTTCGGTTTCAAAAATGTGGTGGCGAGAGGAATCAGAAAACTTCTCACTTTCGTAATACGTCAAATTTCATCTAAAATTTCGGAAAAATAATACTCAAGCCTTTGTAATTTCGAAAAGACGCAAGTTCCCCAAGGATGACAAATTACGCGCCGTTTAGAATGCATTTCTAGATGTCTAAAAAGTACTCTGGATAGCCTAAAAAGTGTTGTCAATGTATTTAGGAGGAGACCATCGTTGGGTGCCCCGGTTAATAACTTATTTCTTTCTGTAAACGGCAAAACTGGCAAACAAACTGAAAAAACCTGTAGTAACTATGATTGATACCACAATACATTCTAAATCGAAAAAAGCTATAATTTAAGGATAAGACAACCATTTTGTCGGCCTCAATTCGGCAGAAAAGTAAGAACTTTTACTTATTTATTTGCCAGAAAAAATATATATATAATGATATACATACAGACATGCAATATATTATAAAAAATGTTATTTAAAGATTAAAGAGACGTAAATTGTAAGAATTAAAAGTATTTTTCTGACGAGAAAGCTCAAACAGAAGCGTTGGTTCTTAGTATATATATTCAGTCCGTGGGTCGGAAAATAACATTCTAAAAAAAGAGTGTTTTCGGCGATAACACAAGCGTCAATTTCCTAGTATGTGTGACAATCTTTGATAATTAACGCTAATATCATCGCTCCTTTCTCTACAAATAAAAATAAAAAAAACTTTCCGCACATTGCGTGTTACTAAGTTGCAGCTTACTATTTGTAAGTAACTTGTAAGAAAATAGTAATCGAAATCTTTGGATCACAGATCTCTTTGACAGTTTTGTTAAAAATCCCAAACTGTTGGTAACCTAGGATCGTTGCTATTTAAAGAGTTCATGGTCTCAAAAGAAAAGACATACTTCGATTCCTTAGTAACTGTCAAGCGTGATCATTCGAACAATGGGTATTGAAAAACCAGATTATTTTTTTAAATGAGTTTTTATTTTCCATTTTGAGCTAATGCGCTCATACGATTAAAAACGATAAAGTCAGGGACGAAGAATTATACCCATATTTTTCTATTCTTGACTTTTATCGTCCAAAATTGAAACTCTTCCTCGTTCCGTGGTTTCTGTTGTTAGTCGCGTGATATGCGAGATCAGACAATAAATCTGAGACACACGAACCATTAGACGAACTTGAATAAATTAGTCTCGCCTACGCTCACGCTTAGTTCGCTGGTAACCAATGTGAAATCGGCCTTCCAAAACCACTCAGGTTCCATAAGAAACACAACTGTCGCCTTGCTGGTGTTTGGCCTGAATGCCGTCGTAAAGAGTGAAGATTTCTTCCAGTGTCCTCCAGACAACTTTGTTTTCTACGCCAGCTGTTTCTTCATCATTTCTGCTTTGTTTTTGTTTATGGCGACGATTTTTCTTCACAGCGGATTTTGGGACGTTCCTGGATGCTGTTATTACGAAGGTCCGTACAAGCGAGGAGCAAAACGGTACTGCTGTTGTTTGTTTCCAAGATGGCCTTGCAGCAAAGCTCTTGTGGAAATCGTATTCTGTCTGGGTTCTTTTGGATTTTCTGGGCGCTCTTGCAGCGCGACTATTAAATCTGCGCCGCTCTCGGAGGAACGAAAGCAGCTAAATTAATCAATGCCTCACCCGCGCAAAAGTTACAAATCGAAGCAGATTACGCGAACGGGGGAAAAAATTCACAGACGGCGGCGTTGCTCTTGCTAGCGGGAGCGTTACTTACAGCTTTCGTTGTTGTTTCAGTTCAGCGATGCTGTTATCAGCGTGAGTTAGGAACTTTACCGAGTCCGTACCAGTATAAGAAGCTCGAGTCAGAAGCTGCTGTGGAGGCCTTTAAACTGAACATTATCCTGCGAACATGGAAAAAGTCGCAAAAGGACAAGGCAAGAGTCGTGCAGATATGTACTTTGCGACCATGAACAAGAAAAACCCGTCTGACATCCTTAAGAGTGCCTATGAAAATCTCGTCGCTGTGAACAAATTTGACGAAGCGTTTCCGTCTTTGGAAGATTATCAGGAGCTCCAAGCACAGGCGGTTATGAGCATCTCCAGGGATGATGGAGTCTCCAAGACAGAATTGCTGCGCAGAGCCAACATGCCATGCATTAAGGCACTCATCATGAAAACAAAGCTGCGGGGGGTTGGACATGTGGTTCGAACGGACGACGCGCGCCTCCCGAAGATGGTCTTCTTCTCTGACCTGGCTACCGGTGCGCGTAGCATTAGACACCCACTGAAGAGGTTCAAACATGGCCTGAAATAAAAAACTGAATTGAATCCCATTCTTGGATGAGAAACCCTCACCGCAAACCCCAGCGCCCGGAGAATGGCCGTCCACAAGGGCGTCCAAGGCTTTTTAAAAAACGGCTGTACAACCTCGACCAGGACTTTCGGAAGGCCGGGTTCTAGTTGCGCGAAGGCTGCGTCTTAGCGATTGAATCGATCTAAACGGTTTCTTCGAGTTGTTTAGGGTAGGCCATTATAACTGATTTTTTTTGTAAATTTACTAAGGATGGGGAGTGGAAAGTAACGGACAAAGAACTACTCAGCAGCCTAGCGTCAACAGGAAAAGGTTAAGCGAAGCCTTTCCCCGCCATGCCGCCTGTAATCGGAAAAAAAAACGAGGATCTCAGCAGTGACGAAAAATACGAGGAGGAGAGCTTTCGATCCAAACAACTCTTTTTATTTGCTTGGCAAATAGCTAAAGGAATGGTAATTACTATATGATTATTTTCTGAGCGGCGTTGCTTCGGTTCAGTTTCTGTTTTCATCATTCAAAGATCGGTTTCAGACTATTTCATAAGCAAGAAATAAAGGACATATGGGTTAATTTTCTAGATGAAGAATGATTTCATTTTTTTCGATCGGTTTCAGACTATTTCACAAGCAAGAAATAAAGGACATATGGGTTAATTTTCTAGATGAAGAATGATTTGATTTTTTTCATTAGAATGTCAAATTAGTTTTAGTGGAGAAATTGTCTTAGTCGATCGAACCAAATTTGGCATGTTTCGTATAAACTTGAATCAGTCGTTCAGATCAGTTCAGTTCAGTATTTTTCTTTTAATTGTTTGCCCCTAATTTTCTCGCCTTCATCCATGCCTTTTTAGGCAGTAACTGAAGTATTTTGGTACTTATTTTCATATTTTCTCCTTCCTTCTTAATTAGAATCATCTCGCCGAAACAATCTTTTTCACAGAGACCTTGCTGCCCGTAATGTTCTTGTTGGCTATGACAACAAAATCAAAGTGTCAGACTTTGGGTTGATGATACAAATCTATGAAGATGTGAGCAGTTCAGCGAAGTCCAAAAAACTTTCTGCGAAATGGATGGCCGCAGAATCACTCTATCAAGGCCTTTACACTACCAAAAGTGATGTGTACGTACAAAAGATTCCCACTCTTTTAAACACATTTTCGATATATTGCTGCTCAGAAAACCTCAGCTACCCTAAAAATCGTGATCAGTGAGTTTAATTCAAACCGATCTAGAATTCCAGTGGTTAATATAGGGGGTAATTTCGTACTTGTCAGCGCAATTTTGACTCAGGACTATATATAGTTTTCATAGTCAATAGCGAGAGCTGCGTCTGTTGAATTCTTACATCAGAGTGTATGTAAAGACCACTTAGAAGCTTTCCTTTGCCGGGAAAAGTTTACGAATATGCGACAGACCCGTCACGTAAATTGGTATTGATTTTCCTACTCTATTAACATTGCTAGGCCATTTGCTAAGGGCTTTGAGCATCTGAGGCCTGGTGTCATAGGGTTTAGTCAAGCGCGAAGGCACGGAAAGGTGGAGACACGCCCTTTTCCCTTAAGTTCGTCAAGTAAAAAGAAGAGGAGGGAAATTTAGAGCGTTTATGCAGTGAGCATATTCATGACCTTTGCGCTTTTCTCTGCAGTTGGTCTTTTGGTGTTGTTCTTTGGGAGATGGCTACATTGGGTGAGTAGACCGTCACACACTGATCATGTTACCTTCCAAGGGGAGTGAGATCCCAAGAACTGTCCTCCTTAGTGCCACGGGGGATATGACTTGAATAGTGCGACTAGCCTGATATTAAAGGACGACACTGGGACTTTTAAAAGAGTGAGTCCTTATTAAATAAGGTTATTGCCATCAGGAAACAGGCTGATACCTGATCAGTTGTATTTGTGGCAAGCCATGCCTTTTGTTTTGAACTAGGCTTTATGTCTGAAATCATAAATAAGTGATAATCGGCATCAAATATGTGCGCATTATAGAGGGCATTATTACTAAGCACCATGCTTTCTTTCTTTCCTTCTTGCTTTCTTCCTTACATTTAAATGCAACTCTGACCCCTACTCAATCACTATTCTTTAGCAAAACTGCATTATTGAGGGCGGGGAAATGAAGACTCGTGGACGTTGACATTTCCAGTAGAAATCTATCCAATGGAATGAGCCGTATTTTCAAATAATAACATGTATATTTTTTCTTTTTCATAACGTGATCAGGAGGCGTACCATACCCCACGCTGACCAACTCAGAGTTGTATCGACTGCTTGGCATTGGTTATCGCATGGAAAGGCCTGACATGTGCTCCGATGATGTGTACGTTTCTTGATCAGAATCGTCTTAAAGTTTACAAATAGATTCGATTTTTCCGTGCGTCTTCATAGTTATAAATTATAGCAATGAACGTTGCAGAAGACAAGTCGGTTGGCAATTTTGACGTTTTCTTCGATCAAATTGATTACTGAACAGACGGACGGCAATCTTAAATATTTGTTTCATACAGTAGTATGATAGTGTTAAGACTTTAACAGAGATCGACAGCAAGGATTTTTTCTCCATGTTTGATATTTCCTGATGGTAAGTGATTAAAACTTGGTATTTTTCTCTTACCTGGTAACAGCTTTATTAGCAAAATTTGGCGATGTTGGCTAATTCTTTCAACTTGGAAAACTTTAAACAACATTTCCAGTAGACCATTCCAAAACCATCCACCACGCGAGGGTCCCGTTGCTGTCGTGTTTTCTCTCGCATGCCGCTCGCGCGTGTATTTCTCACGAGATCGCCCCAAGTGTAGAGCCTTCTTGCGGGCTTGGCAAGAAACCGACCAGCCTAATGATCCGGCGTGAGTGGTTCCCAGCTGGTCTTAAGGAAAAACTATTCTACTAAATTGGGGTATCTTACGTCAAATAGAAACGGTTTCTATGTATGTAATAATGGAATGGAACTCTTACTAACTTAAATTGTTGTTGTTGTTTTTTATTCATAACAGATATGAGGTGAAGACTGACTGTTGGAAGGAGGAACCACGCTTTCGTCCCAGTTTCTTTCAGATGATCGAAAAACTGGAGGTGATAATGCAGAGGGATGCACCATACTTGGATCTAAACAAACATAATGAAGATCATCCGTATTACAACGTGCCCCCTGAAGCTAGTGGTGATTAATATGAAGAAGGAGCTTCCCCAATAATCAGACAAATTTTGACTCCACTACACAACATCAACAGACAAAACGTAATGGCAAATAAGTTTATTTTGGGACGGCTTGGCGAGAACCAACCCTACAAAGTATTTATGTAAATACAATAATAGGTGAATACTGGTGAATACCTAATGTACAACACTTGTAAACTAGCTTTCACAAAAAGATAAAACTCGTGCGACAAATGGTCGCTCTTGACCTGAATCTCCCATTTAAGCAGGCAGGCTTAGTGCCAGGTAGGCTGCCAGTCATTCTGGGGAAACTAATTAATAAAACTCAGACAACGCATAACTGGCACACGGAACACGGTAGTAGCACAGAGGCTAAACAAAAAGAAAAAACTCCTCACAACTGGTCGATCTCGACCTGAATCCCCCAAATAAGCACACAGGCTTAGTGCCAGTTAGGCTGCCAGTTAGGGTGGGGAAACTAATTAATAAAACTCAGACAACGCGTAACTGGCACGAGGAACACGGTAGGAGCACAGAGGCTAAGCAAAAAGAAAAAACTGCTACAACTGGTCGATCTCGACCTGAATCCCCCAAATAAGCACACAGGCTTAGTGCCAGTTAGGCTGGAGAAACTAATTAATAAAACTCAGACAACGCATAACTGGCACGAGGAACACGGTAGGAGCACAGAGGCTAAGCAAAAAGAAAAAACTGCTACAACTGGTCGATCTCGACCTGAATCCCCCAAATAAGCACACAGGCTTAGTGCCAGTTAGGCCGGGGAAATTTAATAAAACTGTGATCAACGTATAACTGGGACCGGGAACACTTCAGGAGCACAGAGGCTGAGTGCCAGGAAAACTGGGAATTATCTCCACTAATGTACCCAACAAGGCACGTAGCCCAATAACTAGTAAGACTGCCATAAAAGGCTAGGGCGGGACATTGAGGGTAAACCATGAATAACGACCCTGGCTAGAGGTCTGTAACATTGCCTGCAACCTAACTGCGTCAAACGAGACTTACGTCGCCTCCTAAAGAGCGGTTCCGGGACAGCTGACCTAAGCATACATGGAAACTAAATATATCAAGTAAAGGAGCAGGTGCAAAACTGAGATAACTAGTGTACAAGTACATAAAATAAGAAACGGGAAAAAGGCTGAAAACTAGCAGAGCTGAGCTACCGCTTACAAACTGAAGTAAATGCGGTCAGACGGAGGCCAGAAAAAAACCTGCCCAAAAAACCCCGAAGGGAAAAATGCGGGCAGGAAATCTGAGTAGGAACCAAGGCTCAAGCTCAAAGCCCTTCCTACAGGACTTTACAATGTAATCGAGAATATGTTGCTCTAAAAATAAATAAAACAAAAAATTTAAGAAAACCAAGGAGAGGTTGGTTCGTAAGCCTAGATGACGAACACGTGATATACGCAGCCTTATATACCCCCGATATGGCTACCCATGGTGCACCCGGCCTAGTACCCAGGCCCTGTTGTATCTCGTGCCGTCAAAATATTTATTTCTGCCTTCTTCGCGGGCTCATTCGTCAGAAATAACATATTTTGACTCCACTACACAACATCAACAGACAAAACGTAATGGCAAATAAGTTTATTTTGGGACGGCTTGGCGAGAACCAACCCTACAAAGTACGTCGCTCTTGACCTGAATCTCCCATTTAAGCAGGCAGGCTTAGTGCCAGGTAGGCTGCCAGTCATTCTGGGGAAACTAATTAATAAAACTCAGACAACGCATAACTGGCACACGGAACACGGTAGTAGCACAGAGGCTAAACAAAAAGAAAAAACTCCTCACAACTGGTCGATCTCGAACTGAATCCCCCAAATAAGCACACAGGCTTAGTGCCAGTTAGGCTGCCCTACAAAGTACGTAGTGTGACAAAGTATTGGGCGAAATGACAAATGAAAGCTCCTAGAGCCCAAGAAACTTGGAAACTGAAAGCCTTTTTTCTAGGTCATCATCGGTAGGCGTCCTTGGCTAGAACGGACTTTCAGCGGCCGAGCCACTGAAACACACTGTCACAAACCCCATTATAAGCACCGAAGGTGGCCCCTCACGAACGCAAGGAATATAAACCAAAAGTGGAAGAGTCAACCCCGACAATTCTCAGGTCCTTGCGAAAAGCCTCTCTAATTGTGGTATAGCTGATAGGCTCGTTCTGGGAAACTAACTAAAAAGAGTTGTTCCCTCGAAACATGGGGCAAAAATGAGATCCCCGGAGCTAAAGGGGATGGAAAAAAGAGCAAGGTACCTCTTTAGAAGCTTGACAGGACAAGCAGGGCCAAACATTTCCGAAAAAATCACTTCGAGTCATCGTCCTTACAAAGTTGGTCGTTCTTGCTTTTGAGAACCTTAATGATCATGAAACCCTCATGAAAGAAAATATAATACCCCCTAATTATGGAGACCTCATCAAACCTAAAATCGTTTTGAAAACACACCTAGCCCCTTCAATAATCGAGTTATCCCTGGGAGAGGGGATACCCGCCATGGTATGAACCCATTTAATACCATAAACATCCGAGTCTACGACGCACGGGGAGTGCGACTCTTCAATGAGGTGTTGCAAATACAAGGCAACATGGCAGGGACTGGCAGGACAGGCCCAGGAATGAAGCTTACTAGCAGCAAAACATTTTTACTTGCGAGAAGCACGAAGGTACACCACTGTCGTACTAACTGCCTTTGAGGAGAGAACCGTCGATTGCATTGTAGACTGTCTGTCAGCCTCAGGGTTCAACCCTCTGGTGGGAAATTCTGGGGCCCGCGCTAGAAACCAGAGCGGAATATATCTGAAAAGTAATCGAAAATACAAAAGAAAATGTGAGGATCATGCAATAAAAAAGAAAAAAACACCGGAAAAGGGAAGTGGGGGGTCAAAAGGTTACATGCAAAAACCTAATGGGTCCAAACCTAAAGGTAGGCATAACACGCGTGTAGAGGCACAGGCAACACTTTCCGTCAGGCGGCGTAGAGCAGAAGCCCGCCAGGGACGAGGGAGGTGTGGGGCGCCGAAAATAAACTCGAAGCGCTATGACGCCAAAAAATAAAGGCCTGGTTCTGAAAAGGGAATTACGGACCTTCCCTGGAACAAATAATCCCTGGAACTTAAGCAATAAAACCCAGTCCACAACAAAACTATTCCAATGCACTCCATCTCTAGTAGAAACATTTCAGAAAATAGCTGACTTCCATACGTGAGGAATAAGGGCTCCCGTGAGCGCGCAGAGCCCAAAGTGTCTGATATACATGACTCTGACAATGAGGCAAAACAGGTGGGCCAAGCCAGTTGTTGTCCTATCCCCAATTTTGAGCGAAGGCATAAACAGCCTAACAGCCTGGCTGAAAAAAATAGAGAGTTAAGCCAAGGCAACTCGCCGTTGTAACTTTTACAGGCGAACCTGTCAATAATGTAAGGACCTAAGAGGTGATTTAGCCTAGCAAAACAAAATCGTTGAGGCTGTAACCATCGAAGTCAACGAGCTTGCAGATACAGACCGCACTAGCGTTCAGGTCCCTAGGGATCCACTTGACCTCGAACGAAATACAATGATGGGAGCAAATTTGAAAAGCAACTAGGGCTAAATTCTTTGAGATCGCATTTCCTGCTGCCGTCGCGGAGAATGGATTCGACGTTCCGGTTGTCAGAATACCAAAAACCTTGGAATTAGATGAAGGGCTCGCGAAGGCTAGTAAGGCAAGACAAACCGCTTTGAGCTCTCTTCAAGTCGATCTACGAACACTTTCCGACCAATTTGATAAAAAATCAACTCAGGTTCAGACTCACTTAAACGCCGCAGGCTGAATCGGAAGCGTCGGAAGCCGGAGCTTACTCTCACTGGAAGCGAACTGGAACCCCTCGATAAATTTTGCCGTAGAGAGGCTAACATAATTCGACCAAAAATTCAATGTCATACAAAGAATCAACGGACAGGAAAACCTAGCTATCCCAGGAAACAGCTGAGTAAACAACTGAGAAAAGAAATCGGGCCATAATGCACGCGACGGATCCCACGCTACTCGAGAGGGAAATACTATGGGCGGCTACACACGGGACGCGTAGAACGTGGACTGTGGTGGACGACTAATATGAAGACAAAGCCGCCAGGTCGCAGGGACAATTTAATGCGTTCATCCGTGGCTCTAATACTTCCATCCAGAGTGTTATGTTGAGATGAACGCGAAGCCACTAGAAAATTCGAACGGGGCTCCCACAGGGACTTTTCCTCATAGGAATTCGAACAAAGCGAGACTAAAGCAAATCGGCATGGACAGCCCGCAAACTGTAAATTAAGGCCTGAACGCGATAGGCTCCTCCTCCTATAGCTAGACCATAGTCAAGAAAAATGGCAATAGGGATACCTTGGCTTCTTCTAGATTTCTGAAGCGGTTTGAGGGAGGCTGACAAGAACCCAAAGGGAAGCGCGCAAAGTAGAAAATACCTAAAAACCCAGGTGCCGAGATCCCAGGTGAACGCAAGGAAATACTGGTGATCAGGGAAAATAATAATAACCACACTAGAGCTAAAATATGAATAAATAAAAAACCCATATCAAAAAGTATAAGTGGCCATGGACAAGTCTTCGCACTTGAATTTCTGTTTGAAAAAAAAAGTGCAAACGTGCCTAAAATCCAGGATTAACCTTTGTTAGCCGGAGCGGCGCGTCAAACAGAAAGCGGGTAAATGATATTGGAATGCAAAAATTTTAAAAAGGAGGTTGAGGCTGGAAGCTCATTAACAGCTAAGGACAAAAAGAACTGTAAACACGTGCAGAGGCATTGTAGGATTTGTAAAAAAAAAACATAAAAAAGCTGGAAGAAGGGAATTTGTAACTAAGACTAAAAAACATTCAAAATGAACAGAGAAACTAGCAAAAGTATGCCAGAAATAGATAACTGTGAAAATCTTCCCAAACTGAAGGCAGAATAGAAATATCAACGGAACACTCAGAGCTCTAAACCGCGCCTAAAACTAGCGGGTGAACGTCAGAAGA